GAGTAACTTATATGTTACATAAAGAAAATGAGTCTGTAATGTTGTTGACAAAAAAAAAAGAAGGATATGTTACATAAAAAAAAAGAGAAAAGAAAGTGTAACTGATAAATTTTGTCTGAGAAAAGAAAGTGTATCTGATTAATTTTTAATATCATATAAATATATAAATATACTTATGCATTAGTATATCTTGCATTAGTGTATTTAGTTATATTAATAACAAAATAATAATTGTGAGATTTTTTTAAATATTGTGATGAATTATCAATTTTTAGTGAATCAATATATATCTAAACTATAAAAGATAAATAACAGTTTATATTCATTTGAAACATATTTATAGCGATATACATATATTTAAATTATTTAAACTAAATATTAAATGATATAAACATTATGATGGTATTTATTAGTGAGTTTATTTCTCTTTAAAATTTAAGTTTTATCTTGAAACAATAAATCCATATATAAAGTGAATATATATATATATATATATATATATATATATTAATATAATTAAATTTAGTAATTTACATTTTATCAGGAAATTGTGTTGATTTTTTCAGTATTTTAAAATTTGCAATTAAATAGATTTTAACTTATCTTATTTTATTTTATGGACTATTATATGTGGTATTTATATATTTAATTAATCTAATTAAAAGAAAATAATAAATGTGAGAGACTTTATAATTGTTAAAATCAAAATGTTATGAAAAAAAAACAGTTTATTTTAGTGAACTACTTAATGATGCTGTGGTTTAAAAAGAAAAGAGAAAAGTTTAAACAAGAACAAAGTTTCTAAGCGATGGCTATAAAAGCACAAATACTCTCAACAAGAAAGAAATCTTCTGCCTTACCAAAAGAAAAAAGAAAGGAAAATGGAAACTCTCTGGTGCATCATCTTCTCCCTCACTGCTACTCTCTTCTACTTCATCATCGTCAGACTCCTTTGGAGTCAAAACTCTAAACTACCACCAAGCCCTAAGTCACTTCCCATCATCGGCCATCTTCACCTCATAAAGAAGATTCCATTACCACAAGCTTTGCATTACCTCTCTTCCATCCACGGCCCTGTTCTCTTCCTCAAATTCGGATGCCGTCCCGTTCTGGTCCTCTCCTCACCAGAATCCATCGAAGAATGCTTCACCAAACACGACCAAACTCTTGCCAACCGCCCCCGGACCATCACCTCTGATCATTTCAGCTATGGCTACACAAACTTCGGATTCGCTCCTTATGGAGATACTTGGAGAACTCTCAGGCGTATCTCCACCCTCGAGGCCTTCTCTTCCTCAAGTCTCCAGAAGAACTCTTTTATCCGTAACGAAGAAGTCACGAATCTCTGTTCTAGCATCTTCAGATCATCACTTGACTCTCGTAGCGTGGACCTCAAGTATCATTTCTCTCGCTTCACCGCTCACGTCATGCTCAGGTTAGTCTCTGGGAGCCGTGGCCTCGAAAAGAAGGATCCGGAGTCAGAGAAGAGGTTCTTGGAGGATTTCAAGAAGAGGTTTTACTCGAGCATGTCGATAAATGTATGCGACTACTTCCCGGTGTTGAGGTGGATTGGGTACAAAGGTATTGAGAAGAGAGTGATTGAGATGCAGAGGATGAGAGATGAGTATCTTCAACGTCTCGTTGACGATGTTCGAATTCGAATGAAGAAAAATGATTCCACTGGTTCGGTGATTGAGAAGTTCTTGCGCCTTCAAGAAACAGAACCAGAGTTCTACTCAGATGATGTCATCAAAGGTTTCGTAGTGCTAATGTTCAACGCCGGAACTGATACTTCACCGATGGCAATGGAATGGGCAATGTCGGCTTTACTGAACAATCCTGATAAACTTGAGAAGCTCAGAGAAGAAATCAGAACTAACGTCAAAGGAATTATACAAGAATCGGATCTCTCGAGTTTACCTTATCTTCGGTGTGTCATCAACGAGACGCTTAGGCTATACCCTTCAGGTCCACTCTTGCTACCTCACTGCTCATCAAAGAGGTTCAACTTAGGCAACTACGAGTTTCCGGAGAACACAACGTTGTTCGTGAATGTTTGGGCTGTTCATAGGGACAGTGAGCTTTGGGAAGACGCGGATGTTTTCAAGCCTGAGAGATTTGAAGGGTTTGTTGGCGATAGAGATGGTTATAAGTTCTTGCCGTTTGGAGTTGGGAGGAGAGCGTGTCCTGGAGCTGGATTTGGAATGAGGATAGTGGCGCTTGCTGTTGGAGCTTTGGTTCAGTGTTTTGAGTGGGAGAAGGTAGATGAAGGAGATATAGACATGAGGCCTGCGTTTAGTGTGGCAATGGCTAAGGCTGAGCCTCTTGTTGCATTGCCTAAGCCATGGCCTGATATGGTTCCCATCTTGTCTGAGCTCTAGTGTCATCGGCAATAGACTTGGTTTAGACGATGACATTTCATATATATATATATATATTGACAATAAGGAGAATGTATGATGATCATATGTTACCTTAGTAATGGAATCAAGTCTTCACTTTTTCGTTCTTTCTTAGCACTAGATGATCTTATTTTGAGGAAGGGACTCGTATCTACTTTCCACTGTTGCTTCTTCATGTATTCAATCCTAATATAAACAAAAATAGTGATACAACAAAAAAAAAGATAAGTCTCACTCAGTGAAGACCATCATATGAACTGGATCAGAAGTAGTTAGCAAAATTGAATTGCAGACGTGCGACGTTCAGTAAAAAATCTCTGGTACAACCATTAGCGGATAAGCTATATTAGCTTTGTAGGTTCTTTAGATCAAAAGAAGAACCCCCAAAAAGTAGATTTATGCACCCTCAGTGATGGTAATGTTTCGCCTTGAGAATAGTCCATGCCCTGAAAATAGAAACCAGTTACAGCGTATGAAAGTATTAGTTGGAACGCAGAGACAGTCTAATAGAAACAAACGTTGTCACCTGTATAGCTGTTCCGTAAGTACAACAAGAGCTATTTAATGATTCAGGATAGTCTAATGGTCACATTAGCTCGCTTCCTCACTTCTCTTCCATGCCCATAAGCTCTACCTCTTCCTCACTTCTCTTCCATGTCCATAAGTTCCACATGTACAAAATAATGTATATACCAAGAAGTCTCAGTTCCTACCAAACAAATAATAATCATGGTCAATTGTTATATAAAAAAAAGAATGATAAACAATCTTCTTCCTTGACCAAAAAAAAGAAAGAAAGAAAGAAAATGGAAAATCTCTGGTGCATCATCTTCTCTCTCATAGCTACTTTCTTCTTCTTCTTCATCGCCAGATTCCTCTGGAGTCAAAACTCCAAGTTACCACCAAGCCCTACGTCTCTTCCCATCATCGGCCATCTTCACCTTATCAAGAAGTTTCCTTTACCACAAGCTCTACATCTCCTCTCTTCAATCCACGGCCCTGTTCTCTTCCTCAAATTCGGTTGCCGTCCCGTCCTTGTCCTCTCTTCCCCAGAATCCATCGAAGAGTGCTTCACCAACCACGACCAAACCCTCGCGAACCGCCCCAGGACCATCACCTCTGATCACTTCAGCTACGGCTACAAGAACTTCGGACTCGCTCCTTATGGAGATCTCTGGAGAACTCTCCGCCGTCTCTCCACCCTCGAGGTCTTCTCCTCCACAAGTCTCCAGAAGAACTCTTTTATCCGTAACGAAGAAGTCTTGAATCTCTGCTCGAGACTCTTCAGATCATCCGTTGACTCTCGTAAAGTGGATCTCAAGTATCATTTCACTCTTCTCACTGCTCAGGTCATGCTCAGGTTAGTCTCTGGGAGTCGTGGCGTTGAAGAGAGAGATCCGGAATCAGAGAAGAGGTTCTTTGATGATTTCAAGTCGAGGTTCTTCTCGAGCTTGTCGATGAACGTCTGTGATTTTTTCCCAGTGTTGAGGTGGATAGGGTTCAAAGGTATTGAGAAGAGAGTGATGGAAATGCAGAGGATGAGGGATGAGTTTCTTCAACGTCTCATTGATGATGTTCGAATGAAGAAATTTGATTCCACCGGTTCGGTAGTGGAGAAGTTCTTGAGCCTTCAAGAAACAGAACCAGAGTTCTACTCAGATGATGTCATCAAAGGAATTGTAGTGCTTATGTTCAACGGCGGAACTGATACTTCACCGGCAGTAATGGAATGGGCGTTGTCGGTTTTATTGAACCATCCTGATAAGCTTGAGAAGCTCAGAGAAGAAATCAGATGTAATGTTAAGCATAAAGGGATTATACAAGACTCGGATCTCTCGAGATTACCTTATCTTCGGTGTGTTATCTATGAGACGCTCAGGCTATACCCTGTAGCTCCACTCTTGCTTCCTCACTGCTCATCAAAGAGATTCAACTTAGGCAATTACGAGATTCCGGAAAACACAATGTTGTTCGTAAATGCCTGGACTGTTCATAGGGATGGTGAGCTTTGGGAAGACGTGGATGTTTTCAAGCCTGAGAGATTTGAAGGGTTTCTTGGTGATAGAGAGGGTTTTAGGTTCTTGCCATTTGGAGTAGGAAGGAGAGCATGTCCTGGAGCTGGATTTGGCATGAGGATAGTGGCGCTTGCTGTTGGAGCATTGGTTCAGTGTTTTGAGTGGGAGAAGGTTGATGAAGGAGATATAGACATGAGGCCTGTATTTGGTGTGGCAATGTCTAAGGCTGACCCGCTTGTTGCATTGCCTAAGCCATGGCCTGATATGGTTCCTATCTTGTCTCAGCTCTAGTGTCAATCTGTTTTAGACATTAGAGTTGCTTTAGACAATTGCTTTTTCCATATACACATCGACAATAAAGAGAATGAATAATGATCAAAAATCACAAATGGTTACCGTAATAGTGGAGTCATTTTCTTCATTTTTCGTTCTTTCTTTAGCATTAGATCTGCAGGGAGATGATATTAATCAAGAAAGGGTCTCGTCTCTCCACCTTCCTTTAGATGGAGAAGGATCATTTGTTGAATAGCCACTGTTGCTTTTTCATTCATACAATCCTTATATAACCAAAAAAGTAGTGATGCAACAAACAAGAACAGACGTCCCACTCAATGATGACCATAATATATGAACTTGATCAGAAGCAAGTAAAATTGGCTTGCAAAGGTTCGACGTTCAAAAACAATCTCTGATACAGCTATCTGCGGAGAAGCTATATATAACAATGTATCTCTATACAAGAGAACGCAAAAAAAAAAAAAAAAAACCCAAAGAGTAGATTCATGCACCCTCTCAATGATGGTAATTTTGCCCCTTGAGAATAGTCCATGCCCTGAAAACAAAAACGAATTACATCATCGCAAAGTATTGTTGAAACGCAGTCGCAGAGACAGATGCAACAATGTAATCACCTGTAAAGCTGCTCCATAAGTACAACAAGAGCTATCTGATGATTTAGGACCATGGAAGACAGTCTAATGGTCACATTAGCTCGCTTCCTCACTTCTCCTCCATGTCCATAAGCTCCACCTATACAAAACGATATCCTCGAAGCTCCCTGAAAACAAAGATCGCCACAGAATCATACACTCTCCTGCTTAACAAGTCCTCTTAATCCTTTCCATTTGTAAAGACAAAGGTTTCCTCAAAATAAGATTAACTTAAAACTCAACAAGTCATTACTCAATCAATTGATTACTTTTCCACCAAGAAGAAAGGAAAAAGCCTAAGCTTACACTATTGCCAGCATCCCATAGTAACTCAGCCATCTGTTCTGAATCAACGTCACGGCCTCTCTCGTCAAGCACCACAACCTAAATCTCACATATCAGACATACCCTTCTATAATAACCAATCTACTAGCAAATTCCAAAGATATTTCAATAATACCCAATCATCAGACCCAACAAGCTTCATCAGAGCCACATCCTCATCCTCAACCTGAGCTCTAACATCCCTACAAGTAAACACTATTCACTTCATAGCAAATCAATCTTAAATTACTGAGTTATTTCTCCAAAACATAAAATTGAGGCAACGTACTGAGCATTACGAGGATTGGAACGAACCAAAGAATCTTCAAAAGAGCAATAAGGTTTAAGCTTAGTCTTGTACTCATCGACCAAGAGTCGAACACCTTCTGATCTCTTTTTCCCCACTGTTACCACACGTATCGGTAAAGCTCTCTGTTTAAAACCAAAAAACTTATCAAATTCCATCAAAAACCCTAATCAAGTCGATGTAAAAAGTTTGAGCATTACCACTGCTTGACCTGTGTATCTACAAGCTCTTCCTGATGACACAAATCTTCACCAATACGTTCGAAATCAACAAACAATCGAAACTAATTTGGAGAAAGAGTGTAGACCTTTATCCTGAGGAGTAGGAGAAGAAGATGCGTAAGGCTGCTTCGGGTGAGGAGTAGCCATGACAAAAATCGCCATTTTGAGTTGTTCACGTTCAATGACTGACGATTATACAGTTGAATTTTCACGACGACGGCGAGAGTTTAAGCCCATGGGCCATTGTAGTATATAAATGGGCTTATGTCAAATAATATAATTCATGAACTTTACGTACTTTAGGCCCATTATGAATACACTTCTAAATCACTAGTTAAAGTAAGTTATTTAGAGCACAATTAACCATCTTTCTTAAGTCTTAACCATGGATCATCAGAAAAAAATATTTAAAAATTCATGAGTCCCATTCATGTGTTAAAAATTGTCTCTTCCTCTTCTTCCGTAAGAGGCGATGTTAAGGTGGTTCATGGACTGTCCATGGCGATACGTGATTAATTTTCTATTTTTATTTTATTTTTATTTTTTCAGACAAAAATAAAAATCCTAAAACTTGTGTCCAAAACCTTAAGAATTAATTATGTTTTTAGACCATGATTAACTTAGAATTTTTAGGATGACGTTCTTAGCAGAAGTTAAAATTTTTTGCTAAGAATCTATCCTAACAATTCCAAATTAATCGTGCACTTAGTACGTCAATTTTAGACTAGTTATGCAATCACTTAAACAAATATCGATATAAAAAAAATGAAAAAAAAAACTTTTAAGTCATTAACTAAATAATAAAATATATATAACTTTTGATCTGATGAATAACTTATTATGATAAATCATTAAGCCGTAAAAAATCCTGATTAAATTCACAAAAGTTACTAAAATGTCAATTTTAGACTAGTTATGCAATCACTAAAACAAATATCGATATTAAAAAGGATGAAAAAAAAACTTTCAAGTCATCAACTAAATAATAAAATATATATAACTTTTGATCTGATGAATAACTTATTATGATAAATCATTAAGCCGTAAAGAATCCTGATTAAAATCACAAAAGTTACTAGAAAAGTTTTGATATACTTCAGTACGTACATTACTACACATGCATGTCTGAAGTGGGCGTGAAAAGACAACGTTGGCTTTTTTCTAATTGTTAGCATATGTTTATTCTCAATAACGCATCCCTGCCCACCAGATTAATTATTTATAGTTTAGTAGTATTCTTGTTTCCATACAACACATTTTTAAAATAAATATGCGTGTTCTTTTTTATATATATTCCCCAATCTCCACAATCCACATCTTTAATAAGTTCTAATTCCGTATTAAACAACTCGTGGCATCTCCACACTCATTTGCCCTTCCATGCATCTTTATCTTTAGCTTTTGGAAGAATTATATATAAGTATAATTTGAATAAAATATAATTAAAGTTGTAATTCGCAGTGTCCGAATATATTAACAAGGTAAACAAATTTCACCGGAAACTTGTATGTATGATGTACACAAGAACATCACATTAAGTCTATTTCCCACTTAGATGATCCACGACATCGGGATGATCCACGACATCGGTTATCCACGTATAGATTATCTCATGCTTGCGGAGCGATCATATGAAATGATTTCTTTAACCCAATATTTGCTTATTACGGACATAACTAATCTATACGGTTCTGCATCGGTATTTAAGTGCCAATATACGTACGTAGTACACAAGTTTGCTCGATTTTTTTTGGGTCTTGTAACAGAGTTTGTTCGAACTTGTTGTCGGCTGGCTAACCGTGTTATAAATAACTAATCCCATTCTTATCGAGTTGAAACAATTGTTCCTTGAACGAGACGTTAACAAGAGTACATATTCCGTTTTACTACTTATGTAATAAGAACTAGATTTTGACCCGCGCAACCGCGCGGGTGTTTGTTTTCGTTTATAGTTAGTTATATAAACATTTTATTTTCACTTGTAAATTGATATATATTATAGTAATCACATATTTACGATATGTATAGTAAATATTTTTCAAACATAATAATATTATATAATAAGTGTTTTAATCAAATAGATAGTTTCAAATTTTCTATATTATACTTGTTTTTCAAACATGTGTTTGTTTCTTCTTCTATATTTTATTGTTTGTTAGATTAGTATTTCATTTTTAGATAAAGTAATATAAATAGAGCTTGATTAAATATTAGTGTAATTTAATTTGCACAGATAATATAAACTTCGAAGACATTTTTGCTAAAAACTAAACTTATAGCTTCATAAATTAATATTATAAAAAAATTTAATAAGAAAGAATTTTTTAAACAATTTCTTTTTTTTAAAGAATACAATTTTAAAAATTTACATCGAAATATATTAATCTAATATATATAACGTGTAATTTTGTTAGGGTATATAAATATTACATATTACTAATCTGTGATTTTTGTTAATATATTCTGGATGTATTTAACTATTATTGACATATTTCCTTATAAATAATAGAAGATTCCTAAACTTATATCTATTGACATATTTTGCGTGACTAAGTTGGAAGTTGTGGGGTAATTTACCAAAACCAAATTGTTAAGCGTATTATAAGATATAACAATGATAAGATTATTAGAGAGGTAATGTAACATAACTTTCTAGTAATAGTCCATTTTTTAAAAAATCACACATGAAATCAAGTCATGACTTCTGTTTTAATATATAAGATACGAATTTTCTTTAAATTATGAAAATGATGTCTTAAATAAATTAGAAATGCATGATTCGGTCAGTGACGTATGAAGCACTCGTGCATGCACTAATGCAATCGGAAATTGGCTGCTAGATTTTATATATACTTGGTGCAAAAATACTGCCTCGACATGCCTCGGATAAATTGTATCGAAAGTAATTATCAATTAGTTCAATGGAGAATAGTCTCATGGACAATTAAAACGTGATTCTCACATATATGCTATTAGGATACGAACTAGCCCCACCATTAGGGTTCCTTTCCATGTCTTTCATATGCCATTTGGTACTTAAAAAGCTGGCTGATCAGTGGATCCAAAACTGTTAAAATTTAACGGTAAAGAGAAGGTTTGGTATGCATACACTGAGATGTTGGATCCACATCAATCATTTGCGTGAGAAATCTCGCTAATTATCTGACTCATCACCAGCTGACGCATCTTTTTGTATTAATTCGAATGAGACAAAAATTGGTAATAGAGTAAATGCATAGATTATTGAAGTAGATAAAAGAAAATGTCGAATATATATATTTTTTTTTTATGTAAAGATATAGAAGGAGAAGAATTGAGGTAATGCTGGTATACGTGTGTCCCACAAGATCTAGATTCTCCATACGATAGAGACAGACTTTTACCCTCAATTTTGAAGTATACATTTATTCAAGTGTGTCGCATTTCAAGGTTCTCCCCAATCCTCCAGTAAATTGTTTATAAAAATCTAGGCCACTGTCGAGAATATAAACCAAAAAGACAAGTTAAAGTTTATAAATGGTTTCTCTATTATATTAACAAAGATGTGTCTTGTCTAAAATAGTGATTGTGCTTTTTGATTAATCTTCTAATTCCTTTTGATCTTCCAATTATTTGATCTTTTCTTAAAAGATTCATTTATCTAATATACATATTGTTCATCAAATGATATCCTGCTCTTGTAAAACACAATTTAAACATTATATAAATTCAAAATCAAAAGTGAAATTTACTTCTCTAGAAATTATCAATATTCATTTTTAACTTTTCAAGATTTTATTTCTCAAAAAATAAACTTTTTAAGATTTTAGTCCTTAAATCGGACGCATTCTGCAAAATGCATCATTTACAGGCTTAAATAATAGGACCTGAAACATTAATTTCTAACAAATATCTGTCCTCATAAGCAAAGGAATGTATCCAACAAATAAATGAAAGTTTAAAACGAAAAAAAAACTAGAATCTTTTAGATTTTGAAAACAAATTGTTTCCTCATTTAAAAATAAAATTGTCTCCTCATGCATGTGGGACTTAATTATTGGCTATAAATAGAGAGCCTTGCACACAATCTATATCCCATAACTAAACACCAACTCAATCGCTCTACATTCTCTATACACATAACAAAAGCTAGAACACTTATTGTGAGATAGACCATGTCAGGCGTTTGGGTGTTCAAAAACGGAGTGATACGTCTAGTAGAAAACCCAAACCAGTCCGGTGGAGTAACACACGGTCGGAGGAATGTGTTGGTTTACTTGCCGACAGGTGAAGTAGTCTCTTCTTACTCGTCACTCGAACAGATCCTAATGAGTCTCGGATGGGAGAGATACTTCAATGGAGACCCTGATCTCATTCAATACCACAAACGTTCCTCCATCGACCTCATCTCATTACCAAGAGACTTCTCCAAGTTCAACTCCGTCTACATGTATGACATCGTCATCAAGAACCCTAATACCTTCCACGTCCGTGATTTCCACTGAGTTAATCTACGGATAAATTCTCGACCAATCGGTTTAGTTTGCGTTTGTTTTGTTCCAACCGAGAAGTTCCAGATAATATATAACTCAAATGGAATCTGAAGTAATCATGTAAATTACGTACTGGCCAAAAGAGAAGATGTGTGCAGCTCTTTGAATTCGCGAAACAATGAGATGGCTATTGGAGTATCATCACTTAGTTTGTGTTTGTTTATATGTTAATATGTACTTTATTTTCGGGATTGGTTTAATTATCTGTTCAAGTTTGTTGCATATGCATACGGTTGTATCTTCATCTTTGTGAGGCTTGTGTGAACGTTTAAGAGTAGTGTTGTCAAAAGGTGGCACATTACTTGTAGCCGTCGTTGATTAGTTTGTTTTGTAGCTTTGAAATTGTGGTGATCAATGTAAGTTCTTTTTTTTCTTTTGTTAAGAAAGTTGTGTTACAAAAAAAACTTTGGGTTATATATATATATTCGACTCGCATGATCGCATCGCTGTTGAAGAAAAGTTCATTTTCGTTTGTATTTAACTGAAGTGTGCTTTGAGACCAAAACTAGCGTCTGTACGGAATAATACTGATTTTTCTTCTTCATATAGTATTTATTTCATTAATTCAGGTATATATACAAAATGAAAATAAATAAATTAGGTTGCGTCTTAAAAAAAAAACGTGCAGACACATATATGTCTGACTTTAAGAGGAGAGAAAAAAATACTTTAGTCACAGTGTGCAAGTTTATTTATCCGATTCAGAAAAAGAAGAAGAATGGAGTTTGCATAAACTACAAAATGTTTATCAAATCAAAAGTTGAGCTTTGATACAAGTGGAGAAGGAGATTGTCACCGGATCGTATTTGCCCATTTGTACCCAATCAGGCCAAAAGAAAAAAAAACAAATGTGTTATGCACAGAAGAGAAGAGAGATAGAGAGCAAGATGATGTAGAGACAAGCACTTGGTGCAAAAGAAGAAGAAGAAACAATGTATCTGCATCATTTTGGAATCATATCCCAAAAAGCTAAAGTTGGGCGTGTCATTACCACTACGACTTTTCCTCTTTCGCAGAGGTTTTGCAGATAGGGCACCAATTCTTCATCCGTAGCCATTGTTCTACACAGCTCACATGGTACATATGTTCACATGGCATAGTCCCTACTTCATCTCCATCAACATACTCTTCCTGCATACCATTTATAGATAACATCAACCTCTTATTCGTTTCACTAAAACCCACCCTTTTATACTACCTTGTCCTAGGTGGATTACATTATATGTTGGGCGTAAAGAGTAGAGAAAAAGGAGAGACCTGGCAAATACTGCACTTGATATCATCCTCCTTATCCAGAGAAATAGCACCGTTTTCATCTGTCTCTTGATAAATGCTCTTCCTGAGGCTTCTTGAGAGTGCTTCTTCGCTTAGAGCTGTGCTCACTGTACCTATTTCATCCCCCAATGCTAGTAGTTCCTGTAATTTTTATGTGTTCATATGATTTAAGCTTCAGTAGAGTTTTGATTGTTAAACTAAAATAGTGAATAATACCCCAAGGGAGTATGATGTAAAACAAACATGCAAGACTGACCTCATAGGACATGTTATCAATGTCAAGCCTCATATCGCTATGCTGATCGTAGAAGCTGATCATACCACTTAAGAATAGATTCGTCTCTAAAGAAGCCAGTTGCTGTAGGAGTAAGAACCAGAACAGACAGTAGAAACGTTAAACACACTATACTCGGACAAAACATTTTCATACCAAAAGACAAAGCTGCTAACTACCTCGTATGTAAGCTCATGACCTTGTTCAATTCTTTCCAGGGCCAACAATACCTGAGACATATTCAAATTAGTGTTATCAGGAACATGTCAAAGCTTCTAATGAAATCAGACAACAGGGTAACGGAAACTACCTCTGCAATTCCATTAACGTTGTAGCCACTTAAACCATCACGGTTCACCAAAGCGCTTGAAGGGTCAGCTTCTGAGGGGCCACCAGGAATCATGCTACGTAACCAGCCGGTACTACTGTTAGGCCTACTGTAACTATTTGATGGACTAAATGAAAGAGAAGGATTGGGATTCGTTGGTGTTGCAGGTTGAGGCGTTTGCTGAGAAGTAGGAGGGGATGCAACAGCTCCAAGTCGCTCTGATCTACCAATGTTACCAGATCTCCTACCACTACTTGAAACAACACTGTTATCCCTGATAGTTGGTACCATACGATTCCTTCTGTTATCAGAATCTGTGTTGCTGTTTCCATGAGAAGAGCTTTGATTCCTGCCCTTCATCACAGACATATTACTCTTACTGCCTTGGCTAGAGGAGCTGCTCTCACCATCAAAGTTTTTCCTTTTAGTCACGCTGATTTTTGCCCCAGAGCTTGAGTTGGTTGGAAGAATATCAGAGACAGAGTTGCACCTCAAGTTTCTCAATCCATTCCTGCTCAGACCACCTCTTACAGTGTGGTCACTGCCAGAAGAGGAAGAAGAAACAGAGGGACGCATTAGAGTATCTCGAGTGCCCAAGTCAGGTTTCTGATGACTACTTCTGATGGTTCCTCTACTTGAGCTTCCTACAACTTCTCCAGAGACTGTCTTTTGAGACTGAACATTGATTGTGCTTCTTTTAGTCTTTAGGCGAGGAAGGATGGGCTCAGCAACGGCTGGATCCTCATGAGTACAGCTCGTCTCTGAAGAACCTGTCTCCATATTAGAAGAAGGCTGCCTTCTGCTAGTAGTACTTTTAGCTGACTTTCTTAAGAATCCAAATCCACTCGGAGTTCCAGATGAACTTCCAACAATTTCCTTTCCATCCCGGCCAACTTTTGTATTGTCAACCGTAGAGCCAATCTGAATTCCCTTGGTGGAAGTTACCTTTGCACTACAACCAATTCGGCTGCAGAAAGGGACACTCTTTTCATCTTTCTTCTTCATATTCTCACGCAGCACAGGACCGCTTCCTTTTCGAGGTACAGCCATCCTGTCAACCGATCGTTTACCCGCACATCCTTCCATGAATCAAAGAAACACTTTCCCTGCAGACAAAAACAAATATCATTCCAGATATCTGATTATCTCTAACAGAATATTAAGTAACACTAAACAAAACTTTCTGTATAAAATAACATAAACACAGCTTCAACAAAGTTCTTCAAAAGCTTCAAAGATAATCTTCCACCAAATCAAAAGCAAGTCTTTGAAAGTTAAAAGCATCACGGAGCTAACAACCACACAAACAAACAAAGCTTATGGGAAGAACATGGACGTAGATGAATAGATCATCCAGAGCAAAACTTATAACTTGAAGAATCATAAACATCATACCAAAAAGCTAATTCTCTGATCAAAGAAACAGAGAGAGAGATGACTAATAGTCCCAACCAAAGAGTAAGTAAAATAAAGGAACTGCCTTTAGAATCCAATTACACAGACTTTCCAATTTAAAAAAAAAACGCCCCTTTGTTCTCGGAGATTACAGGTTTTCACAATCCAAAACAGAGAGACGTATACAATTAAAGAAACTCTGTTTTTTTTTCCGATCAATCAAAGCTAATATACACAAACAATAACAGTAATCGAACACCTTCACTATGAAGATACGTATAATTAAATCATTCAACGACGTGTAAAAAGGAAAACTTGTGCAAAACTAAAACAGTAACAGACGAGTACGACGAGAGAGAATCTGAAACAAACGTATAACCTAGCGATCATCTTAGCTAAACCGTGAAAGCTAGTACGAGAAAGAGAGAGGGAAGAAAACTTCCGGCGTTACCTTCTTTTTTTTCTTCTCCGAGCGATGATGATTCTCCGCCGTCTGTTAAGAAAAACGTGGGGGAGCTATAGAGAGAGAGACGACGATTTTATTATAATGGTTTGTATTTATTGAGCTCGGAGAAGAAGAAAAAAATAAATGGTTTAGTCAGAGAGATCAGGGCCGTTGGTTTCGGGTTTTTTGGTTTAGTTGATGATGAATATGGACGGTTGAGATGCAAATTAACGTCTCCTTCAGTAGACGGGAGAGTATTAGGAAGGGCGAAAACGACACCGTTGTCGTTAAGTAGCGTTACGTACGGTAGACGGAATATTGGAAAATTTCTTCTAATTTTTTTTTTTTGTTTGGTGGTGAAATTAATGGAGTTTTTTTTGTAGTATTTACCGTCGATAGAATTTAATTATTTTACGTTATTTGTAAGAGAAAAGGGTGAAAACAGATTAGGTTATTTCATTACTGGTATTGATGATGTCGAGAAAGGTGTATTAACAAACGTATCGTCTCTTTTGGCGTAAATCAAGAGATTAACTAATAAAGAATTTTGTTTGGTCAACATGGATTAACTAATAAACATATATTCTTGTTTAGCGTCGAGCAAATATTTTGTGGGGATTTGTTGCGATGAGAGAGGTATTATTTATCTAACTAATAACACAGACATGCCGGTCTTGGGACAAACTTAAGGAAACATTCGCCTTAGGTCTCTAAATTTTTTCAAAAATATTATATAGACAAAGGTCTCAAAACAAATTTTTTTAGGTCCTCATATTTACTTTAAAACAATTTAAATTTAAATTTTTTATAAATCATCTAGGGTCCCCAAAATTTCAGAACCGGCCTTGAACACAAGAGTTCTTAGCTATGAAAATTGTTCATATACAGTATCATCAGGGCCTCTACGCCTATGTAAATGCACCGTTGAACCGACCATAATATTTCTCTTTCGTGTCATCAGGGCCTCTAGGCCATGCTGTTTCTCTTTCGTGTCAATCATCATAGCCCCAGCAGATAAGCGACATAAACATATGAAAGGTGATAATAACTACATGCAGCATAAGGTTTTCGGGGCACTTTTCTGCTGTTTAGAAAACCAAGCTGGCATGACATTTTCCTTTCTCATTATGAATATCTGTGTTAGCATATTTTGTTCACTTTACATTGATATATATGTTTTGCATTGTTCTCTTAATCTTTTATTTTTTCAAATACACGTACTTAAAACCCGTTTCACTCGACTTGTAAATTATAATTATTCCACATTATCTACGCGATACACTACAAATTTTGGTCATCAAGTGGAATCTTTCTACATTTGATTCTGTTGTAACACTACTATATATGTATAGTATTAATGTATTTATTGTATATTGTTTGTTAAATGACATGCTACCCAACATTATATACGAGAGGATGAGTGGGTGACATGTACATTTTAGGACCAAACCTAACCGATCCCATTCCAACCAAACATGCGTCATCGGTTAGGTTATTCTCAAACAGAATCAAATTGGAATCAACATGTTCCAAACCCTGACTATTATACTCCATTCTTTCATGCATATATAAGATAATACTCACGACCTCCATACCCGAATTTAACGTTCACTTAACTTACAAGACTACATTACATGTAGCCTTAAGTTATCCACTCAAACTTCAGAGAAAAGTAAAGGTTTTTAAAACTGGAGAGAAGAATTGAGTAAGGTTTTAAAAACTTGAGAGAAGAATTGAGCGCAAACAAAACAAAATTATGTTTATCGAAATCAACTGCATGTATATCAATAATCTATTTAGTTTTATGAAATCTAACACTATTAAAAGAGCAATAAGAAGCCCTCTTATAGATGTCACCTAAACAAAATTAATCAGCCAATAATATTATAACAATCCTCCATATCATTCGGTTTTGTTTTCTTAGCCAGAGATCCGGTTTGGTTTTGGTTCATTTTTCTAATTTGGTTTCGGTTCATTTTTCTAATTTGATTACTAGTTTATGATGAAGGCAGAGAAAGCTGCGTCTTTCTTCTACTTCTCTTACCTTTCGACTTCCTGATCTTTCTTTATTCTTTTCTTCTATTTCTACGATTAGTTTCACCATTATCTCCTCTAATCAATCTTTCACTTGAACTCAGTTGAGAACTCATTCAATAGATTCTTTTTACCTTCCTCTCCATTTATGTATTTATAGATCTCTTTCCCTAGCTTACGTCTCGATCAAGTTTTCAATCCTTTCAGCTTCCTCCTCCTAGCATAAGCATTATTGAACACATAAATAAATATCTTATATCTAAATAGTAACAATTGATATCAGGTTTACATGCTACCTACCTTAAAATATATATTATTTTGTTATAATAAAATAAGAAAAATTACGTACAAAAGAAACTATATATTTGACAAAATAAAAGAAAGTATATATCACACAAAATTAAATTTTATTGTATATAACTTACATAACAATGATAAAATAAATTGTAAAAAGTGTTATAAAAATAGTGAAACAAATGTCAAATATAACTAATTTTTTTTTAACATTACATCGAAGTGGTTTTAAGGGTAAATAAGTATATGTTTAAGAGTATTGTGAACACAAAATATAGGGTTAGTTTATTTAATTAAATGTGAAATTACAAAATACTAAAACAAAAATCTCGAGCATAATTTAATACAAAAATGAAAATAAAATATTTATATTTGCATGGTCAAACAAAATACAATGTAAAATAACCTAATAAAAAAATAAGTAACAAAAAGAAAATTAGATAACCTATACTAAAACAAACCGATTAAAATATCTATATCAACAAAATAAAAATAGACACAGTTTCATTAATAATCGCAACAATATTATAAGAAAATTTAGTCATTTGATGAAATTGATTTTTTTTTCTTTTACAGCAAACAAATTCAACAAAAAATAATAATATTTTTTTAAAAATTACGAAAATAACATTCCATATATTAGTTAGACTAAATTCATTTATACTAAAAACAAATGATTAATCATATGATGATATATTCGTTGCCTTGGCGGCCGTTCTCTTCATACACATTTTCGTTTAATGAGATCTACAAACTTAGACATTTAACATACAATTACTCATTCTCCTATTTTCCTCACATTTCATACTATACTATGACTTTCTCGCCTACAATAGCACATTATATGATTTTCCCTTCATAACATTACAAGAAATATCAATCCGAAAACTACAACAACACATATATTTATCAACATCCCCGCGCTTGTGAAGAGCTACGCACATAATATTTATAATGATTGGGTATTAGATATAAAGAAAACAAAAACTATAGGACATAAAGAATATTCACAAATATTTGTTTATTACTATTTCAACCAGTTATTTAAATACATAAGTTGGTAACAAAATATAGACTATTATGCAAGTTGAATAAAAAAAGTTGAAACCATGAAGGTTTATATACTAGATTATCATTTCCTTTTAAACAAAAAAAAAGATTGATTTTCTCAAGTTCAAATGACTATCTTTTCTTAAATGTATAGTTATGATGGTCACATAAATTTTTATGTCTTTGTTATAAAGTTATATTTTGATCTATTCATGCATATAATTTGGTTCACATTGCATAGTCTTTGGAAACTTGATAAAAAAAATTAAGATGGATTATTATTTTTAAATTAATGATTAAAAAATAAATAACAACTTCAATTAAATATTTATATGGTTTTTGACATAAGTTCATAAAAAAATATGTCTACTAAAATGACTTTGTTGTTTGTTATTAAAAGCGATGCTATCTGACAAGAAGTGTTTAAAAACCGGAACAAGCTGGTTGGATCATGACTCTCTCTCTTCTAAACAATTTTGAGTTGTGTTAAAAACTAACAAATTCGGTTTAAAAAATCGGTTACTCGCTAAAACCGATGGTCCAATTTGATATTAAACCCTGATTTTTTTCCAAGTTCAAGTTAAAAAATGTAAATTTTTAAAAAAACTTTCATAAAGATCTGTATTGTTTTTAATATTTATTTAAATAAATTATTTTCATTATATTTTATACTAATTGTGAAGTTTTCATTTTATTTCCATATCATTTTAGCTTCAAACAATGATAAAAACTCTTATAAATATAATTTTATAATTATATGTATATATAGATACTTAACTTAAAATTAAATTAGATTTACAACATAGTTGGACTGGTGTGACCATTGACCTAACTGCAATGTCAAGTTAATGTTCGGTTTGGTATTCAAAATACTGATGGCAAGGATAAATTAATATCATAAAATTTATAAATAAATAGAATAAATAAACATTGCTCATAACAACAAAATATATAGAATCTTAAATTTCTATGATTTCATTTTAAACTTACAGAAAAGTCAAATCATTTTATATACTTAATTTTCAGATTTTGATAGTGGTTGTTTTCTACCAGCATTTTGAAGATAGAAAACGACATATTAAAATATTACAGTAATTATTATGTAAGTTATTTATACCAAAAATAAAACGAGGGCTCTGTTTAAAAAAAACTAGAAAATCTATATTTTGTAAAAATGGTCATTATTAGTATTATTTATGAAACTCTTACTTGCATTAACTACAATGATTTTGTCAATCGTTATTTTTCTATTTAATTCAACACTCTATTTCTTCTATTTTTAATTATAAGTTTAATTATACAATATAATATATATATATATATATATATAAATAATATATAGAAATTTTGTTTAAAACAATTAGCTGCGCGTAGCGCGGCCAAAAGATCTAGTTGTATTAAAAGTGCCACATTTTAAGAAAATGAGTATATACAGTTAGTTTCTGGTAATTAAAGTATGAAAATCTTAATTTTACTATAACTTTGCAATTATATTTTTTCATTTCAGTAATCTGGTTAGTACTAGCTAGTTAAGCAATGCAAAATGGAAAGAAAAAAATTCAAACTTACACTTAAAACATTTTTGACACCTAATAACAGTTCCAATGTCCATATCATCAAAAATCTAAATAGAATTCCAAAGCTAGATATTATACTACTAATGAGTTTATTTTTATTAAGTTTAGTTACCACATGTAACATTTTTATAGATTTGAAGGCATATATATCTAAGAAAATGAGAAGTACTCAATATATCATTCTATCATTAAAAAAATAACATCAAAGTAAATATAGTTATTATCATATATGGAATATATATTTCCAATTTAAAATGTAAAACAAAAGGAAATGAATAGTTATTAACAAGGAAACAAAAGATATTTCAACACATTTAGATATGTATGAACATCTAATTAAGTATATTACGTGGAGATATGCACTAGCTACCACAAACAGGGTCGACGGTTTTTCCAAGCTTGAAATAGTTGTAACTTATAACCTGATTTTGAAGTTTGGTGTTATTTTGTTAAGGAGACAATTAGATAAATGGGAGGATTCATGATTTCCACCACCATCACCTCCACCTAAGAGTTTGCGAGATTCAAGCTCCGTTTTACAAAACACAGAGTTCCAAAAATAAAATAAACCCTAATTCTCCACCACCACAAACCTTTGGAGATTACTTTCCTTGATGTGCACGCCTCTTATCTTTGGTTAAGCTTTTATTCACCCCTTTTAATCTCAAGGTACCATTTTTTCTTGTTTCTTCTTTCCATAATAATAATGTTATGTCAGGATTGATGATAGTCTTAAGCCTTGCTGCTACCTATTTGATTTTGTTTTGATATATTGCGTAGTTAGGTAGCGTTATTTGGTTTGTGGATGATGGCAACGAGGTGTAGTACAGAGAGAAACAAACCGGACAACCAGAACCTCACCAGAACAAGATCTATTGGTTCAAAGCCAAAGCCGGTTCCATCATCTAACGCAGATGGATCTGGTCGGAAAACAGTTGAGAAGCCTTTGCCTAATTATTTGAAACCAACGGCCAGCTCGAGACCTGACCCTGTCAAGTTCTTGAGGAAGAACAAAGCTGTTGAAGACAATCAGAAGCTTCTTCGTAGACGATCTTTTGATCGTCCTCTTTCATCTTCATCAACTTCATCAACTCGTAAGTCTATTAACACCTCTCCTCCAGTACGTCCACGAGAAACGCCTGTCACTGGTCTGCGTTCTACATCTTTCCATGGAAGCAGCAGAGGCGGTCTTAGAGGAAGCACTACGGTGAAATCTACTCCTGTGGCTTCAAGAGGACCTCCGGGTGTAAAGAAGAGCGGTCTGAGCAGTACCAGTTCTTCCAAGAGCAGAAAGGAAGGTTCTGAGAATGTTCCAAAGAAATCTTCTGGGAAAGAGATTACTCTGGAATGTTCTCCTCCTTCTCATGAGGATGAAGAAGAGATTGTCAAGGTTGAGATTGATGTACAAGCTTCTGACCACATAGAAGAACTGAAAGAAGAAGAAGAAGAAGAAAAAGGAGAGCTGGTAAATGGGGAACAGTTAGAGGCGCAGAAAGAAGCAGAAAACACTCAAGAAAACAACAGTGAAGACAAGGAAGAAGTTGAAAAGAGAGTTGATGTTGAGGAGAATAATAGCGAGACAGTTGTTACTCCATATATGAAAGAAGCTGAGATAGAAGCAGAAGTTAAGGAAGAGGAGCGCGAAGGCAGCAATGTGAAAGAAGGAACACAAGAAACAAAGGCTCATGTAGAGGAAAGAATAAAGGAGGTGGTGAAAGGGAAGAAGGGATCTCCAACAGCATACAACGATGTAATAGCAAGTAAGATGCAAGAGAGCTCAAGGAAGAACAAGGTCTTGGCTCTCGCTGGAGCCTTTCAGACCGTTATTGACTATGAAACTGCTGCTTCTAAGTGATATATTTCATCTGCATTATGTCACATACAGACACAGAAACCGCGTCTTGTTAGCTTTTTCCTATGATCAGTGCTTTCGTTGTTGTTCTTGTTACTTTCGTTTCTTGTTTTGTGGATTAATTAGTACCAAATGTTGGACAAATGAATCATATGGTTTTGCCTGTCGTCAACATGTCAAATGTTGGACAAATCATATCATTGTTTTCACTTTACTGTAATGAGCAAACATTACAGCCTAGTTCCTCGCAACATATTTGGGCCTTGGGCTCTGAATACAAAGCCCAGTTCTCAAGAAATGTTAAACTCTATTTTTTTCAAGTCTCACGCTGACCGGTTGGGGAGAAAAGTCAAACAAATTTATTGATTCTCCATTTACCTATCCAGAAAATTGCTTCTAGATTAAGCTAAATTTTTCTGGAGATCCTAAATTCACTTTTTTTTTTCTCACGCGGAAACATAAATCTATTTCCATAAAAGTCATCCTCTATAAATAAATCGGCACAGCCACCTTTCTAAAGCAAAAAAAGATATTCCATTTGTTTTACCTTGACAAAAAGAAGAAAAAGCAGAGATGTGTTTGGTGTTCGTGTGCGATCAAGACGAGAGAGTGATCGGAAGATACGCAGCTCCTGGAGCATGTCCGTACTGCGGTGGAATGGTTCAAACGGTGGACGTAGAAAGCCAGTGGAGATTCTGCTTCGTCCCTCTCTATAACAAAGCCAAACGTCGCCTTATTTGCTCTACCTGTGGTAAACGCCTCATCGCCCATTCCTAAAACCAAAAAAACTCTCATCTCCTTCCTCCGAGTTCTCTATGTTTTTGTATGTAATATATACAAACTTCTCTTTACATGTTGTCTTTATAACCGTTTGTAAAAACTAAATAACATGTTTTTTTTTCTCTCTTTTTGTGATTGTTGTGTAATTCAATAATTCATGATTATAGTAGCGAAAAATAGATATGAAAGAAATAAAATTTTGAAAATAATCACTTGCAAAGCTTGAGATATTTGAAGAAAGGAGAGACTTGAGATTTGTGATAAGGCTTTGTAGCGATACAAGTCGGAATATTCTCAGGCTGTTCCATCCATAGCTTATGAGAGATCCCTCCTTATCTCAGCTTCTCTGTCAAATTCATCATCTGAGTCTCCCCTTTAACCTCTAAAGTCACCTTTAGCCAAAACAAAATCGGGTTTAATGATTGACAAATCGCGTTTTACCGATGATTAGCGTTTTCGTGAAGTACCTTGTGCATAGAATCAATGTGCGCGGGATCACAATACTGAAGCGTGACCGGATCATCTTTAAACGACCAGATCGCCGCCACAGACGCGTGACATCCCTGCGTTACCACGCTCCCTAGTGGCCACGAATCGATCAGATCTCTTCGAAGCACCCCGTCGTTACGGGAGACATCGACGACGGCACTGATTTCGCCGGTATGTTGGCACATGGACGAAGTTGTAGTGATCAGACGGAGATAATTAAAACAGGTCGTGGAACGATGCGACTTAACCCGCGGCGGGAGGCGAAACCAAGCCGAGACGACGGCGCTCGCCATATGAAAGGACGACGCGCATGGGCTTGAACTCTTTCTTGGATAAGACTTTACTAATGGGCTTCTTGCAAGGCCTTGTTTGATTTACTGATTTACTAACGTCAACTAATTTTGCTAATATTGGGTTTCGACTCTATACCGGCATAATAAACCCAAATTGGTTCTTAATCTTTAGTATATGTTCCTCCGTCCGTCATTAGCAGGCGGCATCTAAGCAAGGTCCATCACTTGAAACTCTGTTGCGATTAAATTTTGATTTCTTATAACCGGAAACTCTGAAACTTATGGAAATCCAAATGTTCTCAACACTTCATATATAAGATGTTTACAACGCAAATTATCATAAAACGTGAATCCTCATAAACGTAGAACAACTAGTTCACTATCACTTGATTCGGTTGATTTATGTTGCTTCGCAAGTTATACTATTATTACTAAACCTTCGAGTCGAAGCTTGTTCATGTGCAAAAACATTTATTCACATATTTTCTGTTCTTGTGTCATTCACATTCATGAATATACGCATTTGAAACTTGAAAGTCAAAAGTGGTGGATGTAAACAAAGGTTAAAAATCTAACCAAGCTTATCTACAATAGGTCCATTTCAATTATGAGAGCCATAATCTAACCTAGTTGTATATATACATTTACTAGTTGGTCCACCATTAAGATATTTTTAGTTTAAAGGTCCTAGTTGAGGTAATTGTAAATATAAAAATTAAAGTATGATTCATGACATATGAAATTACGGTGATGGTAAGATATGATATCCCGGAGTCATGTTACCCACTTATGGATTATCTTTCACAAAACCATCCATACAATAAATTTAGTGTTCATTCATTGATTTTTTTTTTCTTTTGTTGTTCCGGCCCCATTAGTAATCCTGTCACGGTGTAAGAGATTTAGTTGTAACCACAATTATGTTTTCCTAAAGCATATACTATTGAAATTGTGTGTTGGAAGCTCTTGATACAGTTTTGGATGGAATTAGGGAAAATTCATTGTCACTATCCACACCAGAGGAAAATAAACACAATGCCTAACAGATTTACTTTAGATCTATCTTCTGAGTGATTGATTATTGGAACTTATGATTTAGACACTGAAAAGTTCGTTGTCAGAAAAAGAAAAGTAAAGAACTCTGACATGGCCCACTCATGATAAACTATCGAATTTAAAATTTTAATATTCCTTAATAATGGAACCAAAAGTATGGAATTATAGTAATGTCATTGGCTTGGAGTAATAATACTAATCCAAAAGTAAATATGAATCTCTTCATTCTTCAAATACGAAATTAAGGTCTAGTTGATAATCAAAACCTATCATACAGCTTGGTTTATGTTTGTCATCGTATGCTGAAGATTCACGGATGACATTTGGTAATCATGTTAAGTTAACTCGGATATTATTTTTAAATCTAAGTATAATATTATTGACAGTAACTAATCTAGTCGTTCAAAACAAGAATCTTTGTAAGCCCCTTCCAATAACCAATTCACAAGTATTGATCATATTCAAATAATATGCCATATTTTTAATATCAACTTAAAACTTTTCAAAACATGCACCCACGTTAATCTTAGTTCATAGGTGGGATTAAGTCCGTTTGAACACACACACAAGACGGAGTAAGTATAATGAGCTATAACTATTGTTTTCTTTAATTATAAATCTAGACACATTGTTAAAGCATCGCCTCTCTAATAGTATATACTTTAATGTTGTTCACTTTCTCAAATCCAGCATTACACAATACACACACACACAAATAAAAGGTAATTATTAGGAAGAAAGCAGAAAAGAATGGTCCTGCTTTAATCGAGAGTTAAACTAAATAAATTAATAAACAAAACCGGTATTTAAGGATTCGTGTCACCATCCAATTAATATCTCCACATTCTCGCCTTTCCCCCAACGCGTAAAGAAAAAAAACATTATCCTAATTAATCCTCAACCACCGTCCATTTTTGGCGCGAGAGCAAACAAATCACACAAACAGAAGAAACATGTTTGAAAAAGGTAACACCAGTACCACGTGTTAGTCAACTATACTTCCACGTGGCTGACCACATGCTGTTGATATTTATAAATAGCAACTACGGGACGGGGACAAAAAAGCCTTCGACCGCCGTTCAGATCGGGGAGGGGTCTCTCTACACATAGAAAATTAAAATGGCTTTGCCTGTTTTTTAAAAAAAATTAATAATCTTAAAGACCCTTTACTCTAATAATAGTTATGATTATTATTTTGTTAGTGTACTGCAGGTTGTAAATTTTATATTCCATCGTTTAATTTAGTCGACAACTAATTTTTGGCTAATACAGTTGTTGCCCGCTCTTTATTTAATACTGATAATTGGGTTTTAATTCATTTTTAATGCATAGTGTCGGCCGTTTTTTTTCATATTGTCATAAGATTCAAATAATTGATCATACTTTCCAACTGAAATTGAACTGAATAAGGATATAGTTTTAAGATTAGATTAATCTATACAAATAATATAGTATGTTCGTTACATTGTGGTACATGTGCTATACTAGCTCATGAAACATGGACGTCCTGATCTGATTAGAATTTTCTCGTATTTTCATCAAACATTGACATTCTATAGACTATATAGAACATGATAACTGGAAAAAAAAAACACAGAGAAGTAAATCATGAAATTTGTTATTGTTTTTAAGAAATAACATATATAGTTATATACTATGTTTGGTGCCTTCAAAAGCCAACTACAATTAGGTTCTATGATCATGGAACTTGTTATTGTTTTTGCTAATAGAGTTATTGTCGTGATTGGATCATCGACTCATACTATATAAAAGCGTAACATTATGCAGTACTTATCTAGCTATGAAGAGTAGATATATAATTGAGAAGCACATGCATGATGCATGCAACCCTAGTTTGTGTTATAGTGTCGTCACTCGTCAGTGTATTACTACCGTATGTTGCATGGTGACAGAAACACAATTATTGACGCCAGTTCTTGTTGCTCTCTCATACTTTTTTTTTTTTTAAAAGACGGGTCCTTAAATTCATCGGAGCGTGACGTCAACGCACCGCCTTGTATTCTCTGTCATTCTCACTTGATAACTCGGTCTCAGAAAGTAAAAAAAAAAAGAAACGTGCACAGAGAAAGGAGAGAAGAGAGAGTCTTAGCCATTAGAATATAGTCCGGCCAATATAATATACATTGACCTGTCTGTCTCTTGAGGGTTGCACATGCTCCTCCTCCTCCTCTGTCTCTCTATTCTTATTTTCTTTTCTCAACTCTTCTCTGTAAAATAGCATTTGTTTTAATCTTATCTTAAACCTATCTTTCACAATTCACATGCCATTTCTCTTTCTTCATTGGTTAATCTCTTCCCAATGCTTATTTTGAAGTTTATTTACTCTCTTCTCCCAAAGACAGACGACGACGACTCTCTTCAGATCTACTCACTGTTCATTCTCTTCTCATCATCTTCTTCATCTGTTTGATATTCCGGTGACTGGAACCATATAAGGTAAACTTCTGATCCAATCGTTCCCCTCCATTTGATTCAAACTGTTTTTATTTCTTATAAATATCTTTCTCCTTCCATTTTCATGACTTTGCTAATATATAAATATATGATCCAATTAATATTCTTCCCCAAACTGTTTTTTTTTTCGGATCATTGCTCAGAAAGATTCATCCTTTCAATTTTGTTTTGTTTTCTTAGCCTCACGTTTTTATTAACTGTAATTTGAAGTTTCCCGCGAATGTTCAATTATTCCTAATACAAAATTCGAATTAGCAGGTAACATTATTTACATATCAAGATTCTGGATTAAGATCAATTGTCCTAACATTTATATTTATACAAATTTCTTGGTCAGATCAAGAAGATTCTTGTTGAATCAGTTAAAAGAGTGTGTTTTGTCCTTATACGAAAGAGAAACTCTAATTAAATGGTCTGCGAAATGGAGACTGATCAGACAGAGGAAATGGACGTCGAAGTCTTATCTTCCATGTGGCCCGAAGACGTCGGAACCCAAGCAGACAACCAGTTCAACGTCGAGAAACCCGCAGGAGATTCAGACACACTAAAAGAAGTAGACATCGCCGAGAAACGAACCATGGCTGATCTAAAACGTTTACCCGAACTCCTCAACACAACCGACCAAGGCTCCTCTCAACTCACCAACCTCGTGAGACAATGGGAGTACATGCAAGACCACGCGGTTAGGCTTCTAAGAGAAGAGCTAAAGATTCTCACTAAACAGAGAGAAGAAGCTGAAGCCAAAGAGTTAAAGATCATAGAGGAGCATAACTTCGAGACCGAGGAGCCTGAGAATGTCCCCGTTTTGGATGAGACTAGTCATCTTTTCCGCAGGTTTAGGCAGAAGAAACGTGATGAGTTGGTTGATAGCAAGAGGGTTGTGATCGATGAGGAGTTTGATACGGTTGCGTATTGGAAACAGAAGGCGTTGAGTTTGGAGAAGATGCTTGAAGCGAGTACTGAGAGAGAGAGGAGATTGATTGAGAAGTTGAATGAGAGTTTGAAGACTATGGAGAGTCACTCAGCACCGGTTGAAGAGTTGACTCAGAATCTTAAAAGAGCTGAAGGTTTCTTGCATTTTATTCTTCAGAATGCACCTATTGTTATGGGTCATCAGGATAAAGACTTGCGTTACTTGTTTATCTACAACAAGTTCCCTAGTCTGCGTGAACAGGTTAGATAAAAAGCTTTTTTCTTCTTTGTTCTGTTGGATTACTTAGGCATGAGCATTTCGGATATCAGTCCGGTTTTGATATTTTGAGTCTTAAATAGTTCGGTAAGGAACTACATGATCCATTTACTATTTTCAGTTCGAATTTGGTTGTAGTTTTGGGTTCGATTTTTGGTTCGGATGGTAAACCTAAAAACAAGAAATACCTGAAATTTTTTTTGTTCCCATTTGATTTTGATTCCGGTTCAGTTATTTTGGGTAATTCGAATAATTCAGATAAATTGTCAGCTAATTTGGATATTGTGAATACAATATCCTGATATTTTTGGATTTTGTGTAGTTCGATTGTTTTTAGTAGTTTCTTTCCAAATACTTTTAAAATTATATTTATATATATATATATATATATATATATATATATATATATTTGGTTATGTAATATATATAACGATCTTTAAAATATTTTGGTATTTGGTTCTTGGTTCGGTTTAGTTGTTTTAGATATATGATTTATTTGGGTAATTAATAATTTTGGTCTGGTTTTGGTTTCATGTATTTCGGTTCGGTTTTCGGTTTCTTTGCCCATGCCTATTACTGATCGTTCTCATGAGTGAAACTTGTTAATGTCAGGACATATTGGGGAAAACAGACGTGGAGATATTCCATGGAGGTGGAGTTAAAGAGTCTCAAGATTTCAAGAGAGAGGTTCTTGAGAAAGGGAAAGCTTCAAAGAGAGAGATAACATTCGAGACAGACTTATTCGGATCAAAGACGTTTTTGATATACGTTGAGCCTGTTTACAACAAAGCTCGAGAGAAAATCGGTATAAACTACATGGGGATGGAAGTAACTGATCAGGTAAGGAAGAGAGAAAAGATGGCTAAACTTAGAGAAGACAATGCAGTGAGAAAGGCAATGGAATCAGAACTGACCAAGACCATTCACATCACAGAGGAGACAATGAGAGCTAAGCAAATGTTGGCGACGATGTCTCATGAGATTAGATCACCATTGTCAGGAGTAGTTGGCATGGCTGAGATACTTTCAACTACAAAGTTGGATAAAGAGCAAAGACAGTTGTTGAATGTTATGATCTCTTCTGGAGATTTGGTGCTTCAGCTGATTAATGATATTCTTGATCTCTCCAAAGTTGAATCAGGTAATGTTTTTCAAGTTTGTGTTCTCATTTTTTAAAGATTCTTGATGAGTGTTGTGTTTTTAGGTGTGATGAAGTTGGAGGCTACAAAGTTTAGGCCAAGAGAAGTGGTGAAGCACGTGCTTCAGACAGCTGCAGCATCTCTGAAGAAAGATTTGACATTAGAAGGAAACATTGCAGATGAAGTTCCTATTTTGGTTAGTACACAAAACAACACACTGTTCCAAAGTCATTGTAATCTTAACTTTATTGTTTTCATGTTTTCAGGTAGTTGGAGATGTTCTAAGGATTAGGCAGATTCTCACCAACTTGATCAGCAATGCTATCAAATTTACACATCAAGGAAAGGTTGGGATCAAACTCAAAGTCATATCAGAACCATCTTTTGCTAGTGAAGAACAAAACGAGACTTCTGTTTGGATTTGCTGTGACGTTTATGACACTGGAATTGGAATCCCAGGTAAGAACATGAAAAGATTAAAAAAACTCCAGCTAAGCTACTTACTGACACAGTCCATGTTTTGGTATTCATAATGCAGAAAATGCACTTCCTTGTTTGTTCAAGAAGTACATGCAAGCAAGCGCTGATCATGCTCGCAAATACGGTGGAACTGGTCTCGGTCTAGCCATTTGTAAACAGCTGGTTGAGTTAATGGGAGGTCAACTTACTGTGACAAGCCAAGTCAACGCTGGTTCAACGTTCACATTCATATTACCTTACAAAGTTGCTACATCAGATGATCATTCAGATGATCAAGAAGAGTTCTCTGATATGGTGGATCATCAACCTGAACCAGACGATACAACCGAAGGATATTTCCAGTTTAAACCGCTTCTAGGATCAATATATTCTAATGGCGGACCGGTTATTGGCAACAACTTTTTACCTCATAAAGTTATGCTCACTAGCCCTGTTAGGATTATCAATGGTTTTGGCGCTGAGCCTTCTAACAACACTGGACAAAGCGAGACGGTTCAGGTTGGGAACGGTGGTTATATGGATGAAACGAGACAAAATTGTCCTGAGTCAGGTCATGAATATGGAAATGGGAATGGTGGATGTTCCTCCAAGGAAAGTGAGTCTTGTAGCAGTTCACAAGCCAGCTCAGAAGGTGGAGTCTTAGAAATGGAGTCAGAGATTACAGTTTCATCTAGTAAGGAAGAAGAAAAAACTGAGACATCAAAGCCAAAGATTTTGCTTGTGGAAGATAACAAAATCAACATCATGGTTGCCAAGTCGATGATGAAGCAACTAGGCTATACCATGGACATTGCTAATAATGGAGTTGAAGCCATTAACGCGGTTAAAGAGTCAAGCTTCGACTTGGTACTTATGGTAAGTCAGTTCTCACAGATCCAAAGACTTTGTCCTTTTCAAACTCAAGTTCATTTAATTTGAAAAAGGCTTATAATTCGTTTTTGGGTTAACAGGATGTGTGCATGCCAGTTTTGGATGGTTTAAAAGCTACAAGACTGATCCGTTCTTACGAAGAATCTGGGAACTGGGATGCAGCACTAGAAGCCGGAGTAGATATAAAGACATCAGAGAATGACCAAACTTGTGTGCCACCCACAAACCGGTTGCCTATAGTCGCTATGACCGCAAACACATTAGCAGAGAGCTCAGAAGAATGTTATGCAAATGGTATGGACTCTTTTATTTCGAAACCTGTAACGTTGCAAAAACTAAAAGAGTGTATACAACAATATCTGCAGTGAGATTTCCAGAGTTTGGGTAGTTAAGTGCATGCCAGTGTGATATAGGAAAAAAAAAGTTTTGGAGAGCTACAAAGTAGCTTGCTCTCTTAGAGATGTACAGTTATCAATAAAAAGCGTGTGTTCTTTATTTATTTGTGGGAAGTCAGAAACATATATGTTCCCACCATTGAAATTTAACAGAGTATAGCAGGCAAACTCTACAAAACGACAGAGAGCATTACTCAAAACGTGACTTATCTTGATTTCTGTTGGCTGTAACGTTGTATTCCATGAACATCCACAATTCCTGGAGGGAACACTGGATCCGTCGCCGCTCTAACCGCAACTTTGGCAACTGATTCAACATTAACCGGAGGTGTGAACAAAGGTCCGACTAATGGGAGCTGGTTCAGCGGTTTTGCTTGTTGAAGAACCTACAGAAAGCCACAAAATGTTATGAATAAAGAGTCTGATTCTTTTGTAGAGAAATTGCGTTAAAGAAGGAAAGCTCCTACCATCTCCATGGGTGAACCAAATACTCCCAATGGGATCTTCATGTTCCCAACGCTGCGAGTTCCATAAATAAAACCAGGCCTCAAGATTATCCCTGCACAACATTAACCAAAACGGATAAGAGAGAGAGGGAGTTTCGTAATTGTAACATGAAAGCTTTACCTCCATAAGCAAATCTTGTGAGCAGCTCAGTCTCAGCAGCTCGCTGTAAGAATCAAAAGAAAAAAAAAGTATTTAAGACAATGTGCACACTAACCAAAAAGGACTATGTGCAAAAGTTTTTTGATACCTTTCCCTCATAGTAACCGCTCAACAAGTACTTGGCTGGTCCGAAATCAGCAGCAGATATATAGACAAATCTCTTAACACCTTTCTCAGATGCAGCTCTAATCGCGTTGATGTTTGCAGTCCCGTTAATCTTATACATATACGAGTTTGAACCAAAACCACCAACACAAGAGATCTACAATGATTCACAACATAGCTGAGAATAAGCCAAAAAAAAAAAACTATTGAAGTCATCAAATTTCTACATTGATGGAGAAAAAAATCACATACCACAGAAGTCACTCCATCAAGAGCATCTTTCAATAAATCAGATGATAGAAGGTTTCCTGAGGATACAAAAACGGTAAAGATATATAATAGTAACAAAAACATTAAATTAAATATCAATGTTGAGGATCTAACAAGTACCTTGATGCCATGTAACTCTGGTAGCCCATGACTCTTGTAAAGACGACCTACCTGACCTATAACTCATACAAAATGGTTCAACCACAAACCCATAAGACATATATTAGTTAAGCTTCAACTATGAGCCACAAAATTTGAACTTGTTCAATGTCAAAACCAGAGTACCTGCTGAGGCTAGAGACAGATAAGCCACGATTTAAAGCTTCTTTACAGACATGTGATCCCACAAACCCATTTCCACCAAGGACAAGCAGCTGTAAAAGGAACCAAAGGTCAAGATAGTCATGAACATCAATTGCAAATGTAAGATCCTCTCAGAAACGAATCAAAAGGTTGTACCTTTTCAGTTGGAGGTGGAGGAACATGAACAGTCTCTGCTTCTTCCACATTGAAAGGCTCATCGATTTTGTTGGAGTCTGTCGAGAGATACCTCCCTCCACTTGATGATGCAGAAACGAACCTAAAATCACAGAAGACGATTATTTGGAATCGAATTGAGGTGAAAAGGATGGGAGAGAGAGAGAGAGAGCACTCACCGTGTCTGGGGAATAGACGATTTGTGACGGATCAAACGCAAAACGATCGTCCTCATTTTTTTTTTGGAGAGAAAAGCAATTCACCGCAGAGATGAGCAAACTAATTTTATTTTATTTTAATTTTTGAGAGAATAGAGTCCGGTGGCGATGGAGACGGAGAAGTAAACAGAGTTTAATGTCGGAAACAGAGACACGTCGCGTCTTAAAAGGCGTCCACGTAGACCCTGACACGAGGATCCGAACCAATGCGAGACCACGACCTCCACGAGAGTCGCACGTGGCATTTAAGTCAAAATGATTTGAGTATTAACTTGGGCCAAGCTTAATTGGGCTTTTACATTTTTATAAAATGGGCCGAAAGATATATAAAATATCCTCATTTGTAAGATTTACAAGTCACGTGGGTCAAATATGCATATTCCACAGTTTATGTTTGAAACTATATAGTCAAGTAAGGTAGATGATGCCTTAATCCCCACGAAATAGAGCAATAAATTGGAGGCCACGCATATTTGACAATCCTTTTATTCATATTTGCTTTTCTCCTTTTAAGACTTTAGCTAACTAACCTTTATATTGCATATATCATATATAGCGTCTTTGTGAAAAAAAAGAAGATGATCAGCTAATGTGCGTATATATAAAATTATTTTCATAAATTGAAACGAAGATGGCCCCATATACGCAGCTTCTTCGTCTTTACCATAAGAGTTCACACGTTAATATATATCCACAACATTTAACATCACATAAAGATTGTATAATGATTGCATGGATGCCTTACGCTTCCACTTTATATGTTCACATGTGATGTAATTGTATAATTAATAATCTTATATATTAAAACAGAAGTCATGACTTGATTTCATGTGTGATTTTTTAAAAAATGGACTATTACTAGAAAGTTATGTTTCATTAACTCTCTAATAATATTATCATTATTATATCTTATAATATGCTTAACAATTTTTTTTTGGTAAATTACCCCACACCTTCCAACTTAGTCACGCAAAATATGTCAATAGATATAAATTTAAGAATCTTCTATTATTTATAAGGAAATATGTCAATAATAGTTAAATGCATCCAGAATATATTAACAAAAATCACAGATTATTAATATGTAATATTTATATACCTTAACAAAATTTACACGTTATATATATTAGATAAATTTATTTCGATGAAATTTTTTAAAATTGTATTGTTTAAAAAAAAGAAATTGTTAAAAAAATTCCTTTTTAATAAACTTTTTATAATATTAATTTATGAAGCTATAAGTTTAGTTTTTAGCAAAAATTTCTTCGAAGTTTATATTATATTTGCAAATTAAATTATACTAATATTTAATCAAGCTCTATTTATATTACTTTATCTAAAAATGAAATACTAATCTAACAAACAATAAAATATAGAAGAAGAAACAAACACATGTTTGAAAGTCATGTATAATATAGAAAATTTGAAACAATCTATTTGATTAAAACATTTATTATATAATATTATTATGTTTGAAAAACATTTACTATACATATCGTAAATATGTGATTACTATAATATATACCAATTTACAAGTGAAAACAAAATGTTTATATAACTATAAACAAAAACAAACACCCGCGCGGTTGCGCGGGTCAAAATCTAGTTGAGGATTAAAGTTGCATCTTGATCTCTTTAATCAAAAGAAGCAGAAGAAGCTCAGAATTTTCCACAGTAGATAGCTTTATAACTTTTGCTACCTATCCGCACTGTGGTACGTTATCATAATCTATTAGTTAATCATCACCGCGTGGAGTAGTGCCTTAAAAATTGATCAACTTAAAAGTGAATCCTAATATTTTAAATATGTAGTATGACTCATGCATTGCTTTTTCCAATAATGTCTATAAATAAGAGCGTTACATTATTTATTTGTAATCCAACCTACTCAAACACAACACAAGTGTTTCTTGATGATGATGGGAGATACAATGGGAACATTTGGTTCAAGCATGGCAAGTTTATTCTTCTTCTGGGCAACGTTTCAACAAATATTCCCTGACCACCTCAAAATCGCAATCAAAGAGTTCCTTTTGTCTACAATCCAACAACTCTCATTTGTCCAAAGATTCTCCGACCGTGTCATCAACTTCTTCTCTCCTTACATCGTCATCAGTTTCCCGGAGTACGAAGAGTACCGTTTCAACCACGCTTTCGCAGCCATCGACACTTACCTTGGAGCCAAAGCAATCGGTAAAGCCCACAATATTAGGGCAAGTCAGGTTAAAGAGAGCAAAGGTCTAGTTTTAAAACGTGATGAGGCTAAAGTTACAGACGTGTACAAAGGAGTTAATGTATGGTGGGAGATTGTAACATCTACCGATGGAGACAGAACACACAAGCTCACTTTCCATAAACGTGGATTAGAGATTGTGACCGGCTCTTACATCAAGTATGTGATGGAAGAAGGGAAATCAATCGAGGCCAAAAACAAGAAGAGGAAGCTGTTCACTAATAACCCTAGTTATACTTGGGGTTCAAGCAAGAAAAGCTTGTGGAGACACATTGATTTCGAACACCCTTCGAGTTTTCAGACACTAGCTATGGATCCTGTCAAGAAAGAAGAGATTTTAAACGATCTTGAGGCGTTTAGTAATGGGAAAGAGTATTACAAAAAGATTGGGAAAGCTTGGAAAAGGGGTTACCTATTGTACGGACCACCAGGGACTGGTAAGTCCACCATGATCGCTGCTATGGCGAATCATTTGAACTATAACATCTATGATCTCGAACTCACTGCTATTCAGAACAACTCGGAGTTGAGGAAACTCCTCACCGCGACATCGAGCAGGTCGATTATTGTGATAGAAGATATTGATTGTTCTGTAGACCTAACGGGTAAGAGAAAGAAAAGAGATGGTTACTTGAGTGGCAAGAAAGATGAAGAAGATGAAAACCAAAGCAAGGTCACACTCTCTGGTCTTTTGAACTTCATAGATGGGATATGGTCGGCTTGTGGACAAGAGAGGATTATTATATTCACGACGAATCATATTGAGAAACTAGACCCGGCTTTGATCAGGAGAGGGAGGATGGATATGCATATTGAGTTGTCTTATTGTGGCTTCGAGGCGTTCAAGGTTCTTGCTAAGAACTACTTGGATCTTGATTCTCATCGTATGTTTGGTGATATCGAGTCTTTGCTGAAGGAAACAAAGATCGCTCCAGCTGATGTAGCAGAGAAGTTGATGGCTAAGAATCATAAAATCGATATCGATGGATCGCTGAAAGAGTTGGTTGAGAGTTTGGAGAAGAGGAAGAAGCATCAGAGAGGTCAAGGTGATGATCACAAGAAGAAGCTTGGTGGCAAGAAATTCAGAGTATTTCGCGGATTATTTTAGAATAATGTCTGATTATATCTTTATGTTTTGAATCCTTTTAGTTTTTTACCTGTGTGAATGTGATATATGAGCTGTAAGAATTTATGTTTGATCATAATATAATAAGAGAATTTTTCTAGGATATACTAAATTTTTTTTTGTCACAAATCTTATATATTAAAACAGAAGTCATGACTTGACTTCATGTGTGATTTTTTTAAAAATGGACTATTACTAGAAAGTTATGTTACATTAATCTCTAATAATCTTATCATTATTATATCTTATGAAAAATCATATCTATAATAACAAAGATACGCTTAACAATTTGATTTTGGTAAATTACCTTACACCTTCTAAATTAATCACGCAAAATATGTCAATAGATATAAGTTTAGGAATCTTCTATTATTTATAAAGAAATATGTCAATAATAGTTAAATGCATCTACAATATATTAACAAAAATCACAGATTAGTAATATGAAATATTTATATACCCTAACAAAATTTACACCCTAAATTTTTAAAATTATACTTAAAAAAAAAGAAATTGTTTAAAAAATTCTTTTTTAATAAAATTCTTTATAATATTAATTTATGAAGCTATAAGTTTAGTTTTTAGCAAAAAAAGTTTATATTATCTTTGCAAATTAAAGTATACTAATATTTAATCAAACTCTATTTATATTAATTTATCTAAAAATGAAATACTAATCTAAGAAACAATAAAATATAGAAGAATAAACAAACACATGTTTGAAAAACATGTATAATATAGAAAATTTGAAACAATCTATTCGATTAATTATTATATAATATTATTATGTTTGAAAAACATTTACTATACATATCGTAAATATGAGATTACTATAATATATATCAATTTACAAGTGAAAACAAAATGTTTATATAACTAACTATAAAAGAAAACAAACACCCGCGCGGTTGCGCGGGTCAAAATCTAGTCTTATATATTAAAACAGAAGTCATGACTTGACTTCATGTGTGATTTTTTTAAAAATGGACTATTATTTGAAAGTCATGTTACATTAACTCTCTAATAATCTTATCATTATTATATCTTATGAAAAATCATATCTATAGTAACAAATATACGCTTAACAATTTGGTTTTGGTAAATTATCTCATACCTTCCAACTTAGTCACGCAAAATATGTCAATAGATATAAGTTTAGGAATCTTCTGTTATTTATAAGTAAATATGTCAATAATAGTTAAATGTATCCACAATATATTAACAAAAATCACAGATTCGTAATATGGAATATTTATATACCCTAACAAAGTTTACACACTATATATATTAGATAAATTTATTTCGATGTAAATTTTTTAAAATATATTGTTTTAAAAAAGAAATTGTTTAAAAAATTCATTTTAATAAAATTCTTTATAATATTAATTTATGAAGCTATAAGTTTAGTTTTTAGCATAAATTTCTTCGAAGTTTATATTATCTTTGCAAATTAAAGTATACTAATATTTAATCAAGCTCTATTTATATTAATTTATCTAAAAATGAAATACTAATCTAACAAACAATAAAATACAGAAGAAGAAACAAACACATATTTGAAAAACATGTATAATATAGAAAACTTGAAACAATCTATCTGATTAAAACACGTACTCCCTCCGTTTCAATTTAGTTGTCATTCTATGTTTTTGCACACAGATTAAGAAAATAATTAATTTTGCATATTTTCAAAATAAAAACACAATTACCTATACACCTAATCACTTTTCAACCAATAAAAAAATAGAATGACATTTAAAATCAATAAATTTTGCATTGAAATAATAATTAGACACTTATTTTGAAACGGAAATTTTACACTAGAATGATATATAATTTGAAACGGAGGGAGTATTATATAATATTATTATGTTTGAAAAACATTTACTATACATATCGTAAATATGTGATTATTATGATATATACCAATTTAAAAGTGAAAACAAAATGTTTATATTACTAATTATAAACGAAGATAAACACCCGCGCGGTTGTGCGGGTCAAAATCTAGTATAGATCTTAAAAATAAAAATAACCAAAATATACTTAAATATTTTATCAAAAATAAATAAATATACATTTATAGTATTTGGGTTAATTAATCATAAACATAGTTGAGGAGTGTAGTTTTAGATGTAGAATTTCAAATTAAAAAAAAAAAAGAAAACTTAAAATTTTAATAACAAAAAATGTTATTTTGGTCATTTTAATTTCGAGGTCTATTTTTGTAGTAAAAACTTAAAAAGGTCTATTTTAAAGATTTGCCATAATAATAAATATATTTGTTTTCTTTTTGAAGGTAATAGTTGAATTTATTTAGCAAATATAGTATATTGTATTTATATTAACACATACACTCGAATATTTCATACTAAACCTTTAACGGCCACTGCATCGGTTTCGAGCTGCTTGCAAGGGTTATGTTTCTATTCGCTACATTTATCTGGTTTATTCACTGTGCTAATGTTACTCTGAATCGTTCTTGACTTGTTTAGTTTCCTTGGATGAAGAGGAGCTGACGTGGCTTGAAGAAGCTGTCTCCAAGAAACGAACAATGACACATGTGATGTTGTCTTTACTTCCTCTCTTTATTGCTTCTGCCACAAGTTTCTTCGCAGAGTCCTCTGGATCTTCAACTTCCTTAACCATTGCAACTGCTTCCTACAAAATATTGATCAAAGATTATAACAACTATAGGTGTGGGAAAAGCAAAGACGTTAAGGAAGCAGACCTCATTAGAGAAAACATCCCATAGACCGTCACTTGCTAGGATTAGAAACTCAAGAGATTCATCAATCTTTTCCTCCTATATTTTAACAACAAGCTGAATAAGAACAAAGAGGCCAAGAAAGATTATATGCAAGGTGATTCTGATGAAAATACCCGGATCTCTGGATCAGCAACAACATATTGTTTGAGAAGACGATCACCAAATGCACGAGAAACTGCAAGAACTCCTCCAACCCTCCAAGTTCCTATTTCAGTTTATGAATGCAATACAGACACATACATCATTAAGGACTGTGCACAAAGAAAAAAGCATGAGGCAGAGTTTATCTTATAGTTTACTTGCCTGCCCACATCACAAATCCACCAGCATTCTCAATCCTTTCACGCTCATCACTTTGGTCAGGTTTGTGGTCTCTTGACACAGCAATAGCTGCATATCACAGAATCATTCATATCAAGAGAATTTAATTATGATATTTGATATAATCTACTAGCAAATTAGTTACCAGTTCCAGCTCTGCTGATAACAGCTCGTGAATCACCAACATTTGCAACAAGTAGACGATCACCAACGAGTATAGCTGTGGAAGCAGTCGAACCAGCATCTCTGTTGTGGCTATCTTCTGACTTGAGAAGTTCAGAGTCTGTATGGTTGTAGGCATCAGCTGAAAAAAAAATTGATACAAAGTTAGAGTGTAGCATGGAATAAGACAAATTAGAGTGTTGAAAACAACTTTGTTGAGGTTCTTGTGAGAGTACTTATAGCTGATTTGGTGTCAGAGATAAACTTTGGATGAGTGATTAGATTACTGAAAAGATGACGCTTCACATACTCAGCTGCTCTGGCTCCACCATGGCCTGACAAAACAATTAAGTATAACATTATCAAATAACAAGCTACAAACACCAATCTTAAGGTCATGGGACAAGTAGAGCATCAAGATTCATAATCTAGTCCAAAACTGATGATTCTTGGTTTTCTTGAGAGTAATGTATTAGCTCTTCTTCAGAGAGAGAGAAGGGAAAAAAAATACCATCAAAGACTCCAAATAGACCCACGATTTCACCATCAATACCATCGATCCTCGTCTCGAAAAAGTCTTCCATAGTTGATCTCTTACCAGCAGAGCTTGCATATCCATAGCTGAATTTTCCATTCTGGCTGAAATTTGAATCATGTGTTAATGTACAATGCAAAAGATCTTGAAGATTCTTGATAAGATCATCAAATGAGAGCAAAACAGAATCAATCACGTACACTAGAATTAATAACAGCAAATAAAACTATTGATTCATGTAATTAAATGGAGACTTGAGATGAATTTGACCTGAGACCTCCACCGCTCGAAGGAGTTTCAACAGCCTGAGAAGGGTTGGAATGCGACAAGGCCAAGTCAAGATATCCCATTGTTTCTTTCTTTTCAAGAAATTTCAAAACGCTTAATTTCAAAATCTGCTCGTGTGTAGAACATAGAAAGCTAAACCAGAAAGGGAAAGAGAGGAAACATGTGATTCGATGTTTTGAGAGAAGGGAGCATATTCCGGCCAAGAACGATGGTTTTGCTTCATTGTTATGCGCTAATTATAGAAAGAACCAAAACAGGGAAGTCAAAAACGATAAACCAATGGCGCATGTACAGAATCTGACACGTGCTCTCCGATTAAACCAAGTGATGCTAGAAATAGAATCATGTGGCCCCTTGATAATTATATCATTACCGCATACGTGTGCTTTGTTGACATTACAGTTTGCAATGTTTTTAGTTGGGCCCCATGGGCCCATAGTTTCTCAGCTTAAGTGGAGCAAGGATAAGTCTACTCCTAGTACCAAACAGCAGTTTAATCGGAGAAAAGTGAGATTTTAATCAGTCGCCAGTTGCTACCTACGTTTTCACCTATGTTGCAGCCTCTACCGATTCTGACGCATTTTTTGTTGTTGTTGTTCTACATAGGTTTTGTTATAGTTCTTCAATCACTATTTCATTACACTATGTTACCTTGCTGTCTAAAGCTAGAGTTTTTTAAGCTCCACGACTTGTTTTCTTTGCCCTGAACTCATCTCAATAACACCTTTTTGGAGTAATCATTCAGCCTCAAATATTATTACAATCCTGTGTTAAGTAATCATGAAGAAAATGAGTAAGAGATCTCATGTAACATTATATTGGGATTAAAGATCCCACATCGGAAATATGAATGGGACATGAGTAATATATAAAGGGTTAGGGCCAATCCACTTATTGCCAATTGGTTTTAAGTTGGAAGTCCAAAAAACTTATCATGATATCAGAGCAGGCCCATACCTTAACTCCTTAATCCGGTCCGGACAGTGGCCCGATCAACCCATTAGCTGATAGCCCAGAGAAAGCTCAGTTCTATCGAGATTGCTAGAAGAAAAAAAAAAAGCATTGTCTCGGTAGGGGTATGATGGATTGTGCGAGATTAATGGTTATACGCACCATTATCTAGAGGGAGGGTATTGGGATTAAAGATCCCACATCGGAAATATGAATGGGACATGAGTAATATATAAAGGGTTCCACTTATTGCCAATTGGTTTTAAGTTGGGAAGCCCAAGAAACTTATCACATTATCACTTTAACTAACAAATATGTATCGTATTAGAGTTTAGGATTGAGCAGAATCAAGGGAGGTCTTTAGGTACAATGAGTTATACAAAATACAATTAAAAAGAAATCGTAACATCCAAGCAAACTTACGCACTTGATCAAGCACAAAGCTCATATAAATACAACCTTACCAAATTTTATTTCGTGTCTCATCACCAACTACATACAACCATTCGGAGCAAACCCGACCCGTCCACCCGCACCATCATACACAACTTCTATCGTCATCTGCTGAACGTTCCCGAATATAGCAACATCACCATCGTCACCATTCCCCGCAAACGCCAAACAAACCTGCGACACATCAAACACGTACAAAATCCCTCTCGAGTCAACTTCCACAACAGTCCCGCCTTCGAAGGACAACGAGACTTTAGGGATCTCCACAGACTCCAACCCAGTAAAATTATAACACGTGTCGAGTATCGCTCGTCCCATCGTAATCGTATAATTCGACATATTCTCTTTAAACGCGGTTCGTAACGCCGCGTAAGCCATCGGTGGTAGACGAGTAATGACAGTACCAGAGTCTATTATTGCACCGGCGGTAGAGAACACGGTTAAAGGAATCTCTAGTTCTTTACCGGCGACGGTGATACCTACGATATCAAGGCCGTAGAAGGATGCGCTGTCTGTGGATGTGGAGATGGGAGTGTATTTGACGGAGTTGGATAATCCACCGGTTGATCCGAAGGTGAGATGGCCAGTGTAATCTGGAGAAGAAGGGAGGCAGTAAGAGAATATGTTGTTGTAGGTCATCGCAGTCTGCGACGGAAATGAGAATGTGCCACGGCCAAGGCCAAGAAGCCCGGCAGCACCGTAGAAGAGTCCTTTGTTGTTCTCTCCGCAGCCAAAGTTAATGTTGTCGAATACATCGGAGTTTAAAGTAAATTTCTCTTTGGCGAGAAACCCTAAAGTGAAGGATCTATCACCGTATACGGCACCGTAGATGCAGTTAGAAGCCGAGCAGTTTCTGTAGTAACCTAAAATCATTGTGGTGGAATTATTTTTTTTTTTAAATGAATTAAAAAATTAATTTTTAGAAAAAATGTTGAAAATAAAACCTTGGGAAGTGAGGGAATTGCAAAAGGGGGATGAGCACGAGAGGTTGGAGTAGGAAGTAGAGGAAGAAGGGTTAAAGATGGGCTCCTCTTGTGGATAACAAGTTTTACTTTTACCACATGGTTCGCATTGAGTCCACGTCAGATCGCTGCCTGTGTCGAAGACAAGAGACAGATTGTGTTTCGGTGTCCCGATTCCGACCGTAACGATGTAGTTTCCTGAACCGAGTGTGCTTCCGTCTCTAACCTCTAGATCTGTTGATTGACTTTGACTGACTCTATCTTGGACTGTTGACTTCTTTGAGAGCCTTGAGTGGATGGATTTTACTCGCGCCTGGTCGAGTCTGAGGATGTCGTCATGGTTGGGAGTCTTGGGACTTGTGGTGGCTTTCTTACTGCTTAGACTCGAGCATGGACCGTGTGTGTGCATCACGAGTAGTGATGACTTGGTATTAGATGCTGAATCGATAAATCAGAGTTAAAATTATTAATGTCTATCGACTTTTATTGGCACCAGTTACATATATAGTAGAATGAATCATTAACTGTATTAGCTAAGATAATGTCACCTCTTGGAGAAAGAACACATGGTGATGATGAAGGAAAGAGAGAGCTGGCATGAATTCTGTGGAAAGAAACCTCTCCACTCTTTCTTTTTTGAGCTCCATCAGTACAACCAAAACTGAGCCATACACAAAGAACTAAGGTTATGATACTCAACAAATTCTTCATTTTCCACTCTCCCTAATTACATAATTTGATTGGTCATTTTATAACACCATATCCCTTTGCTCATTAAACAATGAAGTGGATGTTGTTAGATTAAAGGCTAGCCACATACCACATACTGACATATAAGTAGGGTACATAGAGATATTTATGAAATCAGTTATGACCACTATTTTAAGATAGTGTTAGAAAACTCTACCGTATTTATAAAGCTAATACCTCAACACTATTTTCGACTAAACAAAGAAAAGATTTATATAAAGCGCGTTTAACCAATTGACATACGTACTTATATAAAAGGATATAGAAAACGTGTGTAACATATAGTTTAGCATTAGATAAGAATGTGTATATATACGCAAAGAAACTATTCATTCGCACTTAGGGTAGGGATATTTAATATGATCTGTATTAGGATAATACAATAGAAAAGAAACTGTTGCATCCAAGCAAACTTATTCTCGTACACATACTTGACACTTTCAAAAGACCGCCACTCAAAGCTTACATACACTTAAATAAAGGATAAATTAAGCTCCTTAAAAAATAACAAGTTTCACTTTTGTTTTATCATCAAACTACATACAACCATTGGGAGCAAACCCGACCCTATCACCCGGACCGTCGTACACAACTTGCATTGTCTTTTGTTGAATGTTCCCGAAAATGGCCAAGTCATCATCTTTGTCATTCCCCGCAAACGCCAAACAAACCTGCGACATCTTAAACGCGTATAAAACCCTTATTGCGTCAAGTTCCACGACGGTGCCGCCTTTGAAAGAGAACGAGACTTTAGGAATCTCCACAGTCTCCAAGCCAGTAAAATCGTAGCACGTGTCAAGTATCGATCGTCCCAACGTAGTAGTATAATTCAACATCTTCTCCTTAAACGCAGTTCGCAATGCCGCGTAGGCCTTGGGAGGTAGACGAGTAGTCACGGTACCAGAGTCTATTATAGAACCTGCGGTAGTGAACACGGTTAAAGGAATCTCCAGTTCCTTGTCATCCACGGAGATACCTACGATATCAAGGCCATACAAGGATGCGCTCTCATGGACCGTTGAAACCGAAGTGTATTTGAGGGAACTAGATAATCCACCGGATGTTCCGAAAGTGAGATGACCAGTGTACTTTGGGGAAGAAGGGAGGCAGTAAGAGAATATGTTATTGTATTTCATAACCGTCTGCGATGGAAATGACGATTTTCCGCGGCCAAGCCCGAGAAGTCCGGCGCTACCATTGAAAAGTCCAGAATTGCTCTGACCGCAGCCAAAGTTAATATTGTCGAAAACATCAGTGTTCGTTAAAGTAATTTTCTCTTTGCTGAGATATCCGGAGGTAGACGAGTTGTCGCCGTAGCCAATAAGGTAAGCGCAGTTGGACGCCGAGCAATATTTACGACGAGTTTGTGAAGCGAAAGAATCACAAACGGGGGATGAGCAGGAGATGTTGGAGTAGGAGGAAGAGGAAGAAGGGTTAAAGATGGGGTCCTTTTGAGTATAGCAACTTCCAATACATGGCTCGCATTGAGTCCACGTCAGATCGCTTCCTGTGTCGAAGACCAGAGACAGATCGTGTTTCGGTGTCCCGATTCCTACCGTAACGATGTAGTTTCCTGAACCGAGTGTGAATCCTTCTCTAGCTTGTAGATCCGTTGACTGGCTTTGACTGATTCTATCTCTGGCTGTTGGCTTTTTTGAAAGATTTGAGTGGATGGATTTTACGCGCGCCTGGTCGAGTCTGAGGATGTCATCATGGTCGGGACTTGTCCTTAGACTCGAGCATGGGCCGTATCTGTGCGCCACGCGCAGCGATGACTTGGTATTAGATGCTGAAATCGATTAATTAGCGTTAGATATATTAAATCTCTATGGGCACCAGTCATCATATATAGTAATTATAAGATCATGAATTATTTGAACTGAAATGTATTATTAGCTAAGATAATGTCACCTGTGGGAGAAAGAACACATGGTGCTGATGATGAAGGAAAAAGAGAGCTGGTTTGAATTCTGTGAAAAGAAACCTCTTCATTTTCTCTCTTTTGAGCTCCATCCGCACTACTCCAACTGAGCCATACACAAATGATTGTAGTTATGATATTCAATAAATTATTCATTTTACACTCTACTTATTACATGAAACTGGTTTGGTCATTTTATAATCAAATTTCTTTGCTCAAGAAACTCTGTAGTTGATGTTGTTAAACTCAAGGCTAGCCACATATCACATACCATTATTATGTAGGGCACTGAGAGATCCATATGAAATGAGTTATGACCATCAATATGAGATAAGTGTTAGAAAAGTCTAATAGTTCAAATTATTAGAAAGAGAAGTCTAATAGTTCAACTCTCTTGTTGAGCCAGCTAAATATAAACCCAATAGAGAAACATTTTAGGACTTGCATCGTCTTTACCCCCATGTCCCCTAGATGAAGCTTTGAACACAATACCAATGCAATAGCTTGCACAAGACCCAGCAATAAGCCAATAACCATAGGATCTGATCAGCGACGTTGATGTTGACACCATGCACTTTACTTTCTTCTGGCTTCTCTTGCTGTCATCAGAATCTAATATATCAAATGCACTATCAATGAAAGAGACAGTAGGATCAGCGGCTAAGGCCAAAGTCGTGGGAAATGTAATGCCTACTGTTCTAACTAAATCCATTTTCGTTACATAAAGAAAATGTAGTAGAAGCGCTCCTTGTAATTTTACTTTTAATATTCATGTATGTACTCATCATGTCCTACACAAGTATACCTTGAGTGTCGAGTCTCAGAAGAACACACAAGAAAAGGATTTTTTTTTTTTTTTGTCACAGAAATTTCATTATAAACTAAGAGAATGAGCTCAAAGATGGCCCAACTCCTGAAGTCCATTACAAAGATAGGAGGATTGAAGAGCCCTTTTAGCTAAAGGGTTTACTGATCTAGAGAAGTGATAGAAGGAAAATGATGCAAAACCAGAGGAGATCGATCGGATGTCTTTCACAATTCCGATGATTTCTTTAGACTGGAGGTTGCCGGAGATAGCTCTGATGAGCGTTGAATTGTTGGAGAAAACCTTAAGTTTTGGGAACTCTAAGGTTAGCGCCTTGCAAAGGGTTGATCGCATCGCGATAGCCTCTGCGATTAGGGGAGATTCCATGCACAAGAAAAGGATTTAGTCTTCGACTAATGAGAGACGTTGTAGGTCCACCAATTTCTGTCATTTTTAAAGAAACCAAGGGCTTAACTAATAAATTGATAAATATATAACAATGTTGAATTTTTTATTACAAGGTTGAGTTTAACTAATTGTATAATGCTAAAAAGCCTAATGATCAGAGAAAATGGTAAGACTAAATTTGAAAAATCATTTAAATGTTCATTAAAATATAACACATCAGATTATATAAACAAAACAAAAAATCACAGTAACACTTTAAAGAGAAACGCATAAAGTATATCAGCAAAGCAAACGCTTAAAAACGTGGCCACGTTTAATCTGTTTCTTTCGTGCTACGTATATACACACGTCAATCTGTTTCTTTCGTATCTGACATAGAGAGTTGGTCGTATCGTAGTTCAAACTAGCAAAGAGAAGTAGAGAACGTGTTACGTCTATTTTTATCTTTTTAAACAATGTTTCCAATTAAAGAAAAAAACAAACAATGTTCAAATAACAACTGCATGCAATTCGAGTATAGTAATCAAACAGACTAGGATATGCGTATATTATAACAAATGCAATTCACTATAATTGGGATTCTTAAACATATCACGTACGTGAAGCTTCCCCGTCATGAAAGTAGCTACATGATCGTGTTTAGGTGTTTCCATTTCCGATAGTCTCGATGTAGCTCCCACAACCGAGCTTGCTCTTGCTCTTACTCACGTCCTTGACCGGTATATCTTTAGATTCGGTTTGCCTAGGTCGATCAGCGAAATTATTTGACAGTCTAGAGTGGATATAGTCTAAGCGTGCTCGATCGTGCCTGACGATGTTGTCAAGGTCGAGTCTCGTAACTTTGCTTCTCCTAAGAGGCGAGCGCACGACATGCTTGTCCACTACGTGCAGCGACCCCTTGGTATTAGATCCTGAGCAACAAACTACACGATAAAGGCAACATAAGACCCAAAGACATATAGTAATTATCTCACATAAATTCACAGAAATAATCATGAAGATTGAAACTGGTTGATTAAGATAATAATAACCTGTTGATGAGCTGAGTTGAACTGTGTGATAATCCACTTTTCCACTCTCTCTTTCTTGAGCTCCCTCAGTACAAACCCAATTGAGATTTACACAAAAGATTAGTATGATAATCAACAAATTTCTCATTATAATGCTCATTAATTTCACCCTCTCCCTAACAGCAGCAATATTTTTTAAAAGAATGTCACTCAGTTACATGAACTTCGCTGGTCCTTTTATAGCCAATAGGCTTGCTGATGTTATTGGTGTATGAAACCCTAGACAACTACATATATATATCACATAAGTTGGGACCCTCTTTCCACGTCCAGTGTACTAAAAGGGTTGTAATATTCCAAGTGACTTACAAAAAGGTTTGTAAATAATTTTTCACTATATGTTTGTTTCATTCGGTGTGTATTTATCTGCATTCCAAGTCTTTAAGTCTAGCCGTATTAAAGGGGTTGTAAATATTCCACCAACTAAGCAATTGATTGTGGAGTGAATCCAGCCAACTAGTTGCAAATATGTTATTGTAAGTCCATGCTCTTCGTTGATCAACTCGTTTATATAGTAAAAACAACATTTTTAATTCGGTTTGGTTTGTGGGTTTGACTGAGTTGAAATTATTTTCCACCAGTTTGAATTTGAATTTGTCACAAAACATTTCTTCACAAGTCTAGAAGAACTCTATGACTTTTTTTTTTGTCAAAGGAAGAACTCTGTGACCAAAACCGAATATAACTCGAAAGCAATATCAGCGTGGGCTCTTACACGGGCTTTCAAATAAATTTATGAAAACCCATTTAGTTTGTTCACCAACATCACTCTGTATTTGAGTAAAATAAGTAAATTACCAATTTGACCTTTTACAAATAAACGTGTACCATTTACACTTCATAGATCATCACGTCCTCACACTGCATATTACACACTTGATTTAAAGACAAAGCTAAATTTGGCGCCAAATCCATAAAATAAAAATTTACCCATATGTTTTCACTTGCACCCATTCGGAGCAAACCCGACCCGCCCACCCGCACCATCATACACAACCTCCAGCGTCTGCTGCTGAACGTTCCCAAAAATCGCCGCGTTATTCTCATCGCTATTCCCCGCAAACGCCAAACAAACCTGCGACATCTTAAACGCGTACAAAATCCCCTTCGATCCAAGCTCAACAACCGCTCCACCGCTGAAGTAAAACGACACCGTAGGGATCGTAACCGTCTTAAACCCCGTGAGATCAAAACACGTGTCCAAGATCGAGACCCCCGACGTATTCCTGTACTGCGACATCTTCGCCTTGAACGCGCTTCGCAGCGCCGCGTAGGCCTTCGGCGGGAGGCGAGAGATGACGGTGCCGGAATCGATCAGAGCTCCGGGAGTCGAGAACACCGTCGGAGGAATCTCGAGCTTCTGACCTCCGACGGAGATTCCGACGATGTCGAGGCCGTAGAAGGACGTGCCGTCGGTGATGGTGGAGATCGGAGTGAATTTAACGGATCTGGAGATTCCGGCGGATCCGAAGGTGAGGTGTCCGGTGTAGCTAGCGGAGGAAGGGAGGCAGTAGGAGAAGATCTTGTTGTAACTCGCCGCCGTCTGCGACGGGAAGGAGAGCTTGTCACGGCCGAGACCGAGAAGTCCGGCGACTCCGGTGAATAGTCCTTGGTTGTTCTCGCCGCAACCGAAGTTAACGCCGTCGAAAACGTTTGACGCCGTTAGTGTGAATTTCTCCTTGGCGAGGAATCCAACGGAGAAGGATTGATCTCCGTATTGAATACCGTAGACGCAGTTAGAAGCCGAGCATGTTCCGGAATTACCTAAACCATAAAAACCGGTTAACATAACCGGATTTAATTTAAATTGAGAAAAAAACAAACCGGAAATCAAAACCTGTAGCGGAAGAGAGAGAGCTACACTCAGACGATGAGCAAGAGACGTTGTGGTAAGAGGAAGAGGAAGACGGGTTAAAGATTGGTTCCTTTTGGGAATAGCAAGTTCGAACACATGGTTCGCATTGAATCCACGTCAGATCGCTTCCTGTGTCGAAGATCAGAGACAGGTCGTGTTTCGGTGTTCCGATTCCGACAGTGACAACGTAGTTTCCTGAACCGTACGTGCTTCCGTCTTTAGCAGGTAGGTCTGTTGACTTGCTTTGTCTGACTCTGTCTGTGAGTTTTTTCGATAGTTTTGAGTGGATCGAGTTTACGCGCGCTTGGTCGAGTCTGAGGATCTCGACATGGTCTGGACTTTTGGTTTTGGCATTGGTTATACGCGAGCACGTGCCGTGTCTGTGCGTCACGTGCAGTGAGGACTTTGTATTGGACGCTGAGTAGATAATACGTTCACGTTAGAAACAAACACAAAATGTTCACAGATTTTCCAAAAAAAATAATGATTTTTTTGTGTGGTTGTTGGTGTAATTATTATTCATATATTATCTAACAAGATAAAATAGCAAAATAAAATATTTTCTTGTGTTGACAAAAGGAAAAATATTTTCTTGTAATATTATCAACTATAGGAGTCTAAACATAGTTGTTTTCATATTAATTACCACCTAACTTAAGTAACTACTAAATAAACAAAACACACTACCAAAATATTGATCACAGCTATATGTTTGTCAAGCATAGACATCTAACTAACACTTTCTATAATCATGTGATGGTAATGTAACATCAATTGATGTTCTTCACTTAATTGATACTAAGCACTAATGTTAATCCCCTAATGCAGGAATTTGGTCTTTAGTTGTAACTTAATTGATACTAAACACTATACGTCTATATGATCTTTACATAATAAGGACACCAATAACGGAAGTATATAAAATAATTGAAGAACATTTATATATATACATAGTTACGCTATATGCTATATTCAGCTATCTTATGTATATAACTAGAATAGAGTGAATCAGGAGAAATTGAATTGGCGAAGAGAATATTTACCTCTTGTGGAAAGAACACAAGGTGATGATGGTGAAGGGAAGAGAGAGCTGAGTTGGATGGTATGAGAATCAGTCGTCCTCCTCTGTTTTTCTTGAGCTCCTTCGCTACAGTCCCAGTTGAGACATACAGAAAGAATTATTATGATATTCAACAAATTTCTATTAAAGCTCATTTTTGCTCTCTTCTTCTCCCTCACAATATTAGAAGTGTCACTCAATATCATGATAATGGCTGGTCCTTTATAATCACTCTTTCTTTGCTCAAGAAAGTCTCTAGTGGAGGTTGCTAAGCGTAAGAAGCAATCCAGTCATCCACATATCTCTTTATTTAGGGGACCCTATTCCATTTGTTTCAGTAACCATTCAGATAGCGACACATCAGCTGGCAAAGGAGTATTATTGTTATTTATATGTGTTTCCTTTTCTCTTTCACACACCGATTTTAGCATAATCAAAGGAATACTATTCCACTCAACTATTCATTAAGTTGTGTATTAAGTAGGTGTCCAATTAGGCATGGCTGTGAGATGCTTGTAAATTAGTTTGTGACATAAAATAAACTTTTAAATGTTTTAATTAAATCCAATGATAACATATGTATACAGTTTGTTCATTGCGTGATTGTAGGTTTCATTGGCCAAATAATGGAAGAGTCAATTCACAAGTCTTCTTATCACTAAAGTATTAATTTTATGAAAGCAATAATTAAGGTTGCTTTACATTCAATGAATTTAAAGTGATGAAGAAGTAGTATCAAACCTAATGGAAACAGGTTAATCGAGCGAATTTTTCACATTCCATCGCTTGATTCTAGCTAACTTATACATGTGAGTAACATACCATATGCTTGTAATTAATTGGGAACAAAGGTGTTGCTTCACGTAATCAATCTCAACGATATTAATTAGACTATAATCTTTAACAACCATTTCTAGATTTAAATAGTCTTGACATGAACGTGTACATACATAGCTATCAAAAAAGTTGAATCCACTTTATTCAAATTTGCAATTTATTTATTTATTTTTTGCAAATTCTTAGAAAGAAGATGAATAGATGTGATCAGCTGATTGTAATTTGGAACCGAAAACATCCATGTATGATTGAGATGATAAGTCCACAAGAACATCAATTAAGTGCATGTGTGGGCCTGGTTGTGTTTTGCAGAAGATAATACTAATATGATAAGTGTAATGATTTACGAGTGGGAACAAAAGATAAAGATTCTTCATAAAGAATCTTAATGTATAGGAAGTGGGAGAAAGCTGGAATCTGAATCATAATTTCTAGAAACTTAGAAAGTGACTAATCGCTTAATTATATGCCTTTTGGAAGCTCGAGAGCCGTCCAAACTCTTTATTGTTCACGGAGAATTCAGCATTTCTCCAAGTGTTCACAGAAATTCAGCGTTTATACAAATTTGCTCAGGAAAAGTCCTCAACAGAGCCTAATAAAAATTATATTGACATAACCTCCAAATTTATATTTAAAAAGTTATCAAAACATTTATTAAATTGTTTACAGATTCCAAAATCTCAAGGTCGGTCATTAATTGCTATTTTATATTTTTTTTTCATTATAAGTGTCATTTTAGAGTTGTGTACACAGATTAAGAAAACAATTAATTTTACATATTTCCTATATAAAAATATAATTATCTATACACCTAACCACATTTAATCAATAGAAAAACAAATTACATAATAAAATTAATATTTTTTGCATTGAAAACCGAAAACGACACTTATTCTGTAACGAATTTTTTTTTAACAACGACACTTAATATGAAACGGAAGGAGTAGAAACTAATTTTTGTGTGTTACATCAAACATGGGACATATATACAAGAAATATATGTATAATATTGTGGTAACTTATTGCAAAAATAAGAGAGAGAATTTAACAAAGAGTGGTGTGGTTTTGCAACTGAAATTCCCTTTTGGATTTATAGTTAGAAAATCGAAAGCTGATGACTAACGTAGCATATGGAACTTCGTTCCTTTTCTTTTCGACCCACCATGGATTATGTTTTCATCCGATGAGTTTTCCACTAAGATTAGGATCCAATATTGAAATTTAATACCAATTTCCACTCATAGTTTATAGTGGGTAGATGTAAAGGGAGAAATGAAGGGAGTATTATCTTATGTAAATCAATTGTTTTTAGGTTTATATAAATACAATAATACTAGGATAAGACCCGTGCCTTGCGCGGGATAAAATTATTATTTTTATTATATTTTGGAAAATGAAACAATAGTTAGGTTTCATTTGTATTAGAGGTGTTCAATCCGGATATCGGGTTTCGGTTCAGTTCGATTTTTTGGTATTTCGGTTTTTAAAACATAACTACTATTATAAATCCATATTTACTTCAGTTTGATTTGGTTTATATATTGGTTTTCAGTTTATTCAATTTTATACAAAAAAACATAATTATTTAGTTTGAGATCATATTATATATTATAAAAATAAATAATATGATCATATTTAGCGTCAAATTCTCAAAAAGTCATTTACTAAAAAAATATTATATATTTAAATAAAAGAATAAAAAAACAAAAAAAAAATTCTATCATCTAATAAATTGATCAAATTTAGAATTAATATCAAAGCTTTAAATTTTGAAAAGAAAAATAAAACAAAACAGAAGCATGAAAGAAAAGTTTTTATATTCTTCCATATTTAGTGTTCATTAATTTAATATGTCTTCGATTGAACACAACTCTGTTTATTTAAAGATTAAAAAATTGTAAAGC